TCATCTTCAAACTCGAAATCAAGGACGCAATTCGTGTTGATCTTCCTAGGAACAGGTTGGCAACCCCTCAGGGTTCCTTCCTGATCAGCATTTCCCTTCATCCGGTTGCCCGTCGAGCATGCGATGACAATACCGAGCAATTAACCAAGAGACCAAAGACCAGCGTGCCCAGCCAGGCCGGTCAACTTACCAGCCACTCAGGCCGCCCTGCCAGTCTGCAATTTTGGTACTGCCTAGCTCCCCACGCTTGATGCCTTGCGAGGTTTGCGAGCTTAGCGTATGGCACTTGCGGTTGATTCCGAACAGCCTGGAACAGGGCTGTGGTGGGGTTGGTCCATACAGACATTAACCAGATCAGGTACCAGGACCGACGTAGTGCTTTTTTTCACCTCGTAAACCCTTGTACGGATCATTTTCACATGCTGCGACCTCTCCTTGCATGTACTCGCAGGCAGTTGGGTAGGTTTGAAATTACCGAAGGCGTGCAACCACCTGCTATGGCAAATATCTGGGAGCTCAATCGCAGATTGTCGTGAACCAGCATTTGTGGCTTGAAGGTTCTTGATTCGAGTCCGTCGCCTGCGGGATGTGGGATGAAACTAGTTAAGAAAAGTTGGTAGTCAGTAGGCAAGGCCGCGTAAGGCATTTTACCTTTGCCGAGGAAGCAAGTCCGCCCACACGGGTGTGCGCTCCCCAATGATAACTCGCCTTTTTCAAAGATGTTGTTCCACCAAATATGGCTATTTTGCTAGTAGTCGGGGCTGAGAAAATGCGCGGTCTTGGCAAACAAACTATGAATCTACTGCATGTACGGTACCTTCGCACTCCATAAGGCTGGACAGCCCTAGAGTGTGCATATTGCTTACATAGTACACAGACAGCGGAGATCATGTGAGCACGAGATAGGCCTGGGCCAGGAGAGGATCTTGTCGGCAATTGGAAGTAACACCTGCAGCATTGGCGACAACCCTGGCCTTGATCTGACGTACTACGGATATTATACATCACGCAGGGGTGCACCCGCTATACGGCGTCAGCGCTATGGTTGATTTGTGGCTTACAGTTGACCCAGTCAAGTGAAAGAATTATTGAGCCGATATTGCGTGTGTGTGAGCCCGTCACATTGCCAGCCCAATCAACGAAATCATCACCAGCGGACGTCAGATTAATAGAGGTCTGCTATTATACTCGTCAACTCCGCGCGGAAGAGCGGGTCTGACAACCAGGGGAAAAAGAAAGGCGGACCGATGATCGTGGCGCTTCGCGTTCGCTTTCGCGATTCTGTGGCGTCGAAAATCGCTTTGATTGTTTGTCCGGGACTTTTGGCAATATTGGCTTACCTCAACATGGAAATTCCGACGCTGCAGCCTCCTGACTACAATCTGACAGGGTGAGGTGACGTCAGACTATAACATTCAATGACCGGCAAGTCATAAGCAAAGCTAGTAAATCGTCCACCTTACCTATGTTGTGAGGTCCTCGAGGAGTCCACTGAGTTATTCATCGTTCCTGCTTAATTTGCACAGCCGTCAAAATATTATCAGACGAATTTGGTTTACGAGAACAATCAAAGCGTTCAAAAGTGAGAATCTTTCTTTAGGTATTCGATAAGATGTGATTGCAATATTGAGCAAGTTGTACTTTTCGCCTGACATAGCTATCTTCATAATTCATGTAGAGGAGCTTGTGTTCCAAGGGGATCCCGTAAACCTCCCCAGTGTTGACCGCTCAGGCCTGGTATATGTGAGACTGAACTTGTTCTCTTGTCTAATGGCTCCAGTGATTACAAATATCCACGCTATTCCACTGAAAATTCTGTCATACTCACAGACATAGAGATACCTGTGCTTGTTACTGCACTGCGAACAGTGCAAAATGAATTGTCAAAACAAGTTCTCAAGTGTGAGGTGATACGCAATGACTGGTAATAAATTAAAATACTGGATGCTTTCATAATCTGGTCCAGTCAACTCACTGTCTGTCTCATATACCAAGAAATTCAGATATGTGGTTTTGTTGGAGGGGCCTCCATGGTTCTATAGCTGAGAGAGTAATCGGTCATGATATATGTTGCCACCAAACAGTTTTTTGGATCCCTTTGCTACACACATGAACGGAGTTCTCTGGCAGCATAGCAAGTATATCAAGATCCTCTCAACAAGTAGAGATACTTGTTTAGACGGCATGCTAACAAGGATAGTACGCCGCGCCTCGCTTTCTAACTTTGGTCAGACGTCGCAATATGCAGGGAGGTCATATACGGTCCCGTTTTAGTGATGAGAATATGTTATTCGTCGAGATCACTACGGATAAGACCATATGTTCGGTAAAGTGTTTTGTACGACAAGAAGTCGACTTACTCAAGTTACCTCTGTGGCATGTACCCTCCCCGTCTGCAATTTTCTCGCTTAGTTACTGCGCCTGTTGTATGGGTGCCTAAACAGGTTGGTTCTAGATCCCTGAACTATATTTGGACCGTCTTTCAAAGTAGAGTCAAAACACGCTGGACAGTGCGTTTTATACCCTCAAGTGAGAGGGAGGATCGGCACGGAGGAGGATGGAGTTCTGAACAGTAACGCTGCAATTCAATCACGTAGTTTGGTTGCTCACATGGAAGAGCTTATGCGTGGTCTGAAATCTGTTCAAGCGTTAGACAAATTCGTTTGACGTTTTAACTTATGGCAGAGGCCGTTGGGCCATCGGCGCTGAAGCACACATGCCGACGATCAAATCCCGCAGGCAGGGTATGTTTGGAGCAATGCCCTACAAGTCTTCACTTTATGTGCTATATACATAGGCAGTTACACCTCTACTCGGGACCGAGCATGCCCTCATAAGGCTGGAACACGCTAACCCAGCGGAGCAGGATGATCCACTGCTTCACTCTCGCTCAAATGAGAATGAGAATGCAAGGCGTACACGTTTCCCAGCCATAGCACGACGTTATTAAGCGAGAAGATAAGAAAGGGATTGGGTCTACTTTGCGAGGTATCGTTTACGGGCTTCCGCGATGGATTTAGTCTCAGGTGGTCGGCTATGAAGAAACACTCCTAAGGGCCCGGCGGACTTTGAGGAACATCACCCTGGTAAACACGCCAAGGAACAACGTACAACGCACGGGTCACTTCAAATCAAGCAAAGAAACAGTAAGACCTAATACGAATCCTAAAGTACAACGCTGCTCATCCCTATACTCATATTCCTATATATTTATTCTACCCTGTATGACAGCAGATTCGTCATTGTACGAAAAGAGGAACAAGAAAAACCGGGCTACCGCTCCCACGACCCATAATTGTGACCGACCACGCATCGAAGGATTTCGTGGGCCCGGATCAGGAGTTGCGGCGTTAGTCTATTTTGAGAGGCCGAAGGATCACCATGCCTAGGAAGATCTAATCATGCCCTCTTTCACATACCTTTATTCAGCGGCCAATTCCTTCGTGTCGTAGTACACCCCGTGTAGTTTTAAAATTTTAATGGGGTTGTTTCGTGCCACCCTCGGCTGCTGGGCAAATTGCAGCGCTATATTTCTTGACGCCTCCGTACCATAATTCGGGAGCAGTTACCGACACTGCAGCCAGGTCGGGTGAAGAGTAGCGGTGATGCTAGAGGAGGCAGCAGAATATCGTTCATTTCCCCCGAGCACTCCTGATGTGATCGCGAGGCGGACTCCCGGATATGTCGCGAGCCGCCGTTTGGCACATACTCTACACCATGGCAGTGCTGCGCCATGTCATATTACTTCAAACCCTTGTGCAACTAAGATCTTAGGAAAGAGATCCCTAGGCTAGTAGGCCACTACATCCAAGGAGGATCATGCCACTTACTAGGGTGGGCAAGCACAATACAGGCTGGCTGTTTGAGCGTTCCGTTATTCAAGTACCCGCGACAGCATCTACGCAACGGCATGCTGACCAAATAATTAACATTAACGTACCGCCAAGTCCGATTATACACCCTGCGCGCTCCGTATAACCATCTAGTTGTGGAACTTGGATAGTCCTGGCAGCCGTTGGAGCATAGTATTGCACTGGTCGATGGTGATCAATGGCTGTTCAAAAGGTAGGCGGGATTAAACGCCGTCTCACGTGGGTAACGTTGGCTCGACCAGGGCTCCACGTGGAGGATCATACTCAGCTTCGCCGCCTGTCTCTTCCTTCCTGCGACAACCGTGATTAGACCTGGCACTGGCTATGCGTCTTCTATACTGCTCCACAACCATGTGCTTGGAATGATGATCGCTCCAATTGGTCTTCTTACGACACTGCTTCATCCGCAGAGACGGTGACCCATAGAAAGGACTGTGCATCGGCAGATGCACAGTCCTTTTTCCCTAGTAGAATGGAGTGCCTGCGCCTCTGCGGCACAGGAGAGCCCTGGTCATCTTAGGGCCTTGAGATGAGAAGGCTAGTGAAACTTCATATTGCAAACTACTGCGTGACCAGGGCTTGGAGAAGATGTTTTTCTGTAGAGATGTATCGTTCAAAGTGGTATTCAAAGTACCACTGCCATTCCGTCATTTGGTATATGGAGGAGCACTACGCCTCAGGGACCTTGGGATCGGCAACGTTTCGTCAACTAACGCGGGCGTGCCAGGCAGACAATCTTGGCGATTCTTGACCAAATGGTGAGGAGACAAGAGCGGCTCTGCATTTAATGCGATCGGTTATACCATGCTTCCCAAGTTCCAGTTGAACACTAGCGGAAGACGTCCTACCGCACAGGCTGAACCATGCGATCCAACGGTCTATTGAAGGCAATATGATTTTAAGATAGAAAAAGAATATCTGAGTCAAAAAGTTTCAGACATGCATAAGGTTGTGAATTTAACGGGAGGCATCACGAGCACAGGGACATCGATACCTGGCTCCCCACTGGTATTGTCCTTCTTCTCCCCAATGTTATCACCCCTAAGCATGATTATAGATACAAATACCAAGGCGGCAATGATAAGAGGATATGCTTCCTATGTGTGGCGTAATTTAAAACACCCATCCTTAAGGCTGCTGCCCAGGCATCACCTGCGGTGCCGCGATGCGCGTATCAAAAATGCGTCTGTCTATCGCTTTGAAACTGAACATCGAGTCGAGTTCTGCTCTAACTTCCGCGATCCCTTTACTTGCTTGCTTCATCTTCTCAGGTTGGCCGTCCTCCAAGACATCCCTTTTCACACTGAAGGTCCACTTCCTCGCTGGATCTACAGGCTTGAGGTCTGACCACGCCGGCAGACTCGTCGAGGGCCCGGACTGCTCAGGCGACGGTGGCAAGTGGTAATACCTACTGAATATGAACTCCATGTTGTCTCTGATGAAGGAATAGGTCTCCTGTATGAGCTCTGTCTTGTATCTGCGAAAGGGTTAGTTCGAGATAACAGGTCGACGTGCGGAACGTCTCCAATCTCACCCTTGGCCATTGCCGGCCATGATTGTTAATAGGCCTTTCTGGTCGGGAATGTCGATTTTCTTTCTGTACGTGATCACCTGATCTTTCTCTCGTTCTGGGTCCGGGAAGCCTGCCCAACGCAGCGTGCCGGGCATATTGTCCCATATCATCGCATTGCCCGTGCCAAAATCTCTATCCTTGAGTACTTCATGTACCAAATGGAATACATAAGAGGATCGAGTCAGCTCCCTGCTGAGTTCATGCCACTGCGCAGAGTAACGGTTCGGTGGTAGGGACTTGACGTTGGGAAGGCCCCTTGCTTTTGGTGGGCCAGCGTAGAAGCCGAGGTGGTAGACATTATGCCGCGCAGACATCCAGCACAGCCCTTGAAGCACGGCACATGCCTTTTCTATGTCGCCATCTTTGAGGGCAGCGGTGAGGAAGAGCTCATGCATCCTGTAATCCTGAGCGTTCAACCCTTACTGGGGGTGTGGCGGTCACCAGTGGATGGGATGCTTTTTTTTGCTGTGAACTCGATGCCCTTCCGCCTAGTGTGGTAAAGCGAGAGAGATCCGCCAATGAGATACATCCACATCAGGAGTAGTGAATGTTCATCATAGATGACAAAAGGATTAACTCTCTGAGGGCTGGCAGTTGTGGTTGATTGAGGTTGGATATGGCTGAGTCTGGCATGCAGAGTAGCCGCTGCGGCTGCCTGAGGCAGCCAATGAACGCTGGTTCAGTGTTACCCCACTAGCCTCCATAATTGATTGAGGGCCGTCTTCAGCAAATGCGTCACTACCCGGTCAATGTCGGCCTGCCAATGAGGAATCTGGCTACATATCTGCGATTAAAGATTCAAGTATTGATATGTGCCTAATAGTGCCTATTCTACTATGCTTCAATGGGGTGCGTAGTGCTGGAGTGCCTTCCTCCATGGGGTTGCAGTGTTCCACCTAGTAGGACTCTATGTTAGTAGTCAATTGCAGCACAGCACAGAGCTCAACCGCCTAAGTGGGCAGAATCAATAGCCTTTGGTTGCTTCTCACTTCATCTCAGTAATAGTGAGCTCACGCTGATGTGGCCGAAATTGGGTTTGTCTTAAGCTAGACTCGACACAGCGTGTCAGAGTAGCAAGCGTATTTCGGAACAAGACATCTCGGGTTGATTCGCATCAGGCAGCTTCAAGACGGGCAACGGTTGGCATGTATCCTGAAAGTACCGGTGAAGAAGGCTCGGATGCTCGAGTTATGTGCTTTAGTAGCTTTGAGAGCCATTCGGCAAGAGGAGTATCCGAGTCCATCGGTGATTACTATAAACCTCCAATACCTGGAGCAGTTGCAAGGGAAGGTAGCGATGATACTTGAAAATGAATACCCAGCTGTGTATTGAGCGGTTCGGTTGGCGACTTGTTTGGACTGCTACAGAGAGCAAATGCCGCGCCTGCAAACACAGCCCACGCCTCTTGTCTTCATACAAGCGTGCGGGGGTTTCGAGATGCGCCGTGCCGAAGGAGGTTTACCGATTCACCAAGTCCGGAAAAGGGCCGGTAACGCATGGCAGTCATGACCGATTCAACCACTGTCGCACAATCATATGTCTCGGAAAGTTTGTTGTCAGCCATTAGATATTCTGACTGATAGCATGGTAACGGCGGAGGCTCCGGGAAAACCGACCGATGATCAAGACAGAGAGGCAAGTGTCCCCCAGGTGGTCTGGATCTGAACAGTTACTTGCGACACAGGTGGAGTCAACTCGCTTACATGGAGTATTGTATTACTCCATCGATCAATGGCAGGTTATGTCCAGAATATGCCAGTCGTATGTAACACAAGTCGGCAAAGCTCCTCTGACCTCCTGGCTCTATCGGGAGGACCGTTGGTGGAACGTTCTATCCATCGTATCCTCCGCTGAAGGCTGGTTCATCACAGATCAGATCTTGGAGCAGAACACCACTGCGGCAGTCACCACGATCCGGCTGGTTGGAAGTACAATGCGGGCACCTAGTTGCACAATCATGTTGCTTTGTCACACCACTCCGTAATTGTACGAGCACCGAACTATGCCCCATAGAGATTCAGATTCTCTTAGAGAGGTTCAGTTGATAGGCTGGATCGTCCACATGTATTCCATCCCACCCATTCTCCGAGCACATTTCGCAGGAGGCCTACCTGTACGATGTTGCAAGCTCGTCCGAAGCAAAACGGCAAGCAACAGATCTGACTTCATTCCCATATCTTGGCAGGAAGTATTGTAGCAATTGATGACGGTTTGCTCTAGGCCAACCAAACCCTCAAGTCCTTCGAAGCCATGGTCTTGGTATCACATCTAGAATGGAAGCAATCTACTTATTTAAAGCATGAGGCCTTCACAACGAGAATGGTACGGCAAGTTAGTTCAAAGCTACACTTTCTGCAAGCCTACGTCGCCCAAGTTGTTCACATCAACAAACACACACCATGCGCACCAACATATTCTTGAGCCTTTATCTGGCGTATTTTGAGATTGTTGTCTCGCAGCACGGTAAGATGCTTTACAAAGAGATTACCGGCTCACGGAACACAATCGATGATTAGCCCTACTACTTGGCAATTATAAACATACGGACTAACTCGCGCGATCTCCAGGAAACCCACGTCGTTCTTCAACAAGTAACTGGGATGACGGACTCTCACTGGCGTCACCAACATGGTACGATCCCACGTCAGACAGCCCGGATCCATGGCAGTCTTACTTCTCAGACGGACAGACCTGGTCAGAGCCCTCGGAAACCACGACGGACTGGTCAGATCCCTGGTTCAGCACCACGGACACTTTCTCCTGGTCTTACACCCAGGACTTCTCGAGCGTAGAAGAGACTCCCTTTCCGGATCCAGCCAGTACATGGGACCCCAACACATCTTTTGATTATACAGACACGGCGATAAGTACTCTAGACCCAGAGCCAACCCTTGGCCCGTGTTTGCAAGATGACTGCATGGAGGCTGCGATGGAATATCCCAGCCAATCGTTCGAGTTTTGCATCGAATACTTGGAAGCTGCGCCACCAGTACTTTCACCTCCGGTTCCTTACCCCCTAGAAGAGTCTTGCACACGGTTTGGAGCGGACAATGCTCTGTCCAGCGTTTGTGAATGTTTGCTCGTGCCTCCCACATCAACTGGAGACGTTGGTCCTGCGACAACACTGTCTGATCCATGGGCGTACTCCTCATCTTCGACACACAAGCGGAGGTCATCGTCAACTCCATGGGCATATCCACACCCACCTACTTCATCCTATGGATGGGGCTCAACTAGCTCCACTGGAAAGGTTACTGTAACCAAGACGGTGACAACGACAGACTACATTACGTACATTTCTAGGTGCAGCACCCGGCCTCGGAGTAGCCATTTCACTTTCCCAGACACTGTCACGGAGATTTACACGCAGTACTACACGATTGGGTGTCCATTCACAGAAGCTACGAGTGAAATTGCAGTGTAATCAACTTATACCTCCGATGAATGAAGCTTAGGATGCAGACGATCACATCACCGTCATGGATCACACAGTTCTGGGGCAGGGCTTTGCTTGAGTTCTATTCATGATCTTAGAAGTCGCTCCCACTTTCTACTTTCATTTCTACACATGGGTGCTTTAAATGGGCATCATCAATCTGGATACTGAGGGACAGGGTTTTCTTACGTGGGCTGTTTGGGAGAGTATTGATCTTGAACGAGATAACTATACGTGGGAATATGAAACTGATGATCCCGTCTTGCGCTTGGATATGTCAATGTCTAGACTCGTGAAGTGACTTTCCCATCTCCGAAAGCCTCCTAAAAGCTTCTAGGTCTTGTGATTTTCATGGCCCGCCACACGGATGTAAGATATATATAGCATGAGTCTGAATTATAGTTTTGTTGATTTTATTTAAGGGTATTGCGTAATTCATAAGTCATCGAGCGGTTAGGAGGCACCACATAGTACATTCCTTAACTTAGAAATAGCTGCCGAGTCTCTCCAGCCCTTCCAGCTCACAGCAGGTATCTGGCCTTGATCATATCTGTTAATATGACCTTCGTAGCCTATCTCGACCCTTCTGGTCCAGCTTTCGCGACGAACGTCTCCGTCCTTGAATCCGGCGAAAGCAACCCAGATCGCTCAACAATAAACCTTCAATGCCATTGGCAAGGTTTAGTTTACAACACTGCAATACGATGGTATAGCTGCTGCCTTGCCGTCCATAGCCTAGCTCCAGTGATAGACAGACGGACACAGCGTCGAAGGCGTAGGCCACCCCATGTAATGAATAGCCTCCGGAAGCCATGATCTGTACCAAGCAAAGACCTGATCCTGATTCGCTTCGTCTGATGACATAGCTGCTGCACGGCATGGGTGGACTTGAGATCGTCCCAAGTCCACTATTTCCTTGAGTCTTATCGGCGTCCCCCAGTTCTTTTCCGATTCTTCTATACCCGAGAAGGAATTAAACCGTTGCGGCTCTGCATCTCGGGAAAGGGTTGTGCCTGGTGCTCAACCCGCGATTCATCATCTGATGGTCGTAACCAGTACTCTTTCCTCGTCTTGCGGCCGCAGCATCTCCGTATGAGATTGGGACCACACTGAGCGAATAGGCAGAGTAGAAACGTGAAGACTATCGTGACCGCAGCTGCAACCGAAATGCCGATGATAAAATCTCTTTTGAAGTTGGTCGTATCGGAATCGGCCAGAGCAGACCCTGTCATCCAGGCGAGGAGTAGAAGTATTGTTGAAGACCGGAGTCGGAACATGTTTAGGCGCAGCGACAGTGCCGTTATATGTCAGAAGTAGTTTGTTACAAGAGTTGGTCCACTGTGGTTGGTGGCTACGATCTTGACGTTGGGATGAAAACGTATGCACCTATAGGTTGAAGGAGCTTTTCTAATAAAATAAAGAAAAGCAGCGAGATACGCCTTTTCATGGATTGGGAAAACATGAGGGGCCCCCTCGCCGTATGTCACACACAGGCTGACGACGTGATATGTTTCCAGGTTGTTGGTCATCAAAGGTCTAAGCCCATTACTTTTCTGCGGCACAAGACAAGCATTGCCTAAGACGCGGTAACACCAAGTGCCCCAACCGCATGGGAGGATTCTGGCACCGCCCCTGCAGCCGTATAACTCAAGGCTGTGTCCCCGTAAAGATAACATGATTTGTCCTTTTTTTAGGCCTCACTGAGGGGATCCGACCCACGCCACAAGGCAGCATATTTTCCACAGTGGGACTTTGAGCCTATTTTTTTCGCCGAGCACCGCGCTTCGCCGGGTAACAATGGGGGGAGATGGTGAGAAGTTGCCAGTTTAGGCACGCAAATCCCACAGGACCACATGGTATTCTAGCAGCGATTGAAGTTGGTGCAACAATGAGGCTGAATGTCTGACCGGTTCGCCTTAAAAGGTTGCCATAGGAATCCGCGCTTAGACGTGGAGGCCGCTACTCAAGCGCTTACTAGAAAAATGTGAAGGCTCTCTCAAATTTGAAGGTGTCAACATCAAGCATCGTCAGTGCTCAGTTCCTACTCCTGGGCATAGCCTTAAGGAGCATAGCCTTGAGGAGCATGTTGTCGCAGGTACACTGTACTCATTGGCGTAGGAGTAAGTTGACTGGCATCGCTCGCTGTCTGGCAAGTGCATTCCTGGGCTTACGAGACGTCGTATGTGCTGCTGACAGGACTTCCAAATAGTCCCCAAAATGCAAGATGCTGAGCGCAATGTTTGCAGACATTCGACCGTCAGCTGGCCTCTGATACCTAGCTAACACCACTCAAGAGTGAGTGCAGATGGGAGGGACTGGACCACGTTGGCGTCACTCGTGCCAGCTGGCCAATCGCACCCCCAGGCTAGCTATGTATTCAATGGTACGGTATGGTTACTCTACCACCGATGACGGAGGCTGATGAAATGAAAGCTACGTTCATATGTGATGAACGGCCTTGTGGCTGCGCTGTTTTGTCGTGTTGAAGCATGCTGCAGAGAGGCGCCTCTGGCCTCCCTGGCCGCTGTCAAATGCGCTAACCAACCTACCATGCCGCCGGGTCGACAGCGGAGCCGGCACCACACAACACCTGACGTCACTGCCCGTCGCGTGCAGCTTGGCCCAGCTCAGGAGCATTTGATCCGTGGCCAGCCAAGTCGACATGCCTCGATGCGTCGTCGTCACTCACAAGACAAGAGTTCCCTCGTTAGCACTCTCCTTTTCTTGATGCACAGCAGCAGAGATGAGCTATGTTTTCCGCCACGGTTGTTCGCAGCTGAGCACAGCGTTGCGGCGTGCCCCCACGGCGGGCTGCAGGCAGACCCGGCCCGTGAGCTGTCGGACTGGTGTCTTTCGGGGCCTCGCGTCCACGGTCAGGGCCAGGAGGCAGCTGCAGGACGAGACGGCCAGGGAGACCAACCAGCGGGATCAGGATGCCCACGAGGCTGAAGTCAAAGCCGGCATTGAAGCTGCCACGAAGCAGCAGATCAAGAGGCCATGGCAACGCGAAGGCGCCGACAAGCCGCCTGTCGATCTGGAGCACAAGAACCTTAACAAAACCATGACTTCAGGTAAGAGAGCGTTCCTACTCCGCAGCCCGAGTGACTGCATGAACCGCGATCCGGGGATGAATCCGAGGCTGACTGAGTTCGGCTCCCAGGCAAGCTCTTGACGACGCCCACTCGACTGCTGAAGCTCATCCTCCCACTGCCCGTCGATGCCACCCACGACGAGAAGGGAAACAAGGGCGAGTTCAGATCCATAGCGCAGAACGAGGACATCCAACCCCTCGCGCTTCTCGTACACCCCCAGCAGCCTCTCTCGTACCTCGAACGCCTGATCCAGGCCGAGCTGCCGCCGGTGTACGACCAGGACGGCCGCGAGAAGATGCCCAACGTGTACTTCCGAGCCGAAGCCTCCGACAAGGACGAGAGCGGCGAGAAAAGAGAGGGACAGGACCAGAGTTCCCACGTCGCGTCGGCCTCGGGGCTCGGCCGGGAGGGCCCAGACACGCCGGCGAAGGACAAGGACTGGGTGCGCTGGAGCAGCAGCACCGAGATTGGCGACTTCATCCGGGATGCCGCCCGCGGCCGCGAGTTCGCCATCGACATCGACGGCCACGATGCCGAGATGCGCGTCGGCGTGCCGAGTTTCAACGACCGCACACACTACATGCGAGTGAGGCTGCGGCGCATGTCGCGCAGGGTCAATGAACTGTCCAAGATCAAGGAGGAATGCGACCTGTTGGCCCACCGGGCCGCGCATCGCATTGCCAAAGCCGGGTTCGCAGCGCTGTCTGGGTGGTGGGGTGTCGTCTACTTCGTCACCTTCCACACCGACGCCGGGTGGGACCTGGTCGAGCCCGTGACATATCTCGCGGGACTGACCACCATCATGGGCGGTTATCTGTGGTTCCTCTTTATCAGCAAGGACTTGAGCTACAGGGCGGCGCTCAACATCACAGTCACGCGGCGTCAGAATGTGCTGTACGAGTCTCGGGGGTTTGACCCACAGAAATGGGAGTCGTTGGTGACCGATGCCAACGCACTGCGCAGGGAGATTCGCACCGTGGCAGAGGAGTACGATGTGGAGTATGACGAGATGAAGGACTTGGGCGACGAAGAGGTCCAGGTAAGTGATATCCTTGGATTGACCACAAGATAGCAAGACTGACTGTCAAACAGGAAACACTGGATCGCGAGCAAGACAAGAGGAGCAGAGGCAAGGACGACGAGGACGTCGAAGAAGAACAGGAAACCAAGAAGGAGGCATCCAAGTCTAAGGAGAAAAAGCCAGGGAAGAAACCGGAGACGAAAGACTGAGGATAGACCAAGATACCCGTACACGTAGATCGTCCATTTAGCGTGCTGAATTCATACTTGATTAATTTTGCAAAACCTTGGACACCCGTTCGGATGTTTTTCTTCTTCTTCTAAACCTTATAGTGATTCAGACCCGTCCAAAAAGGTCATGGTAGATCTTCTGTACAATAGAATGTCCTGTGATCTATCTACTCGCTCAACGCCTGCTTGAGGACCCGGATCTGCTGAAGCACGCTGTCTTTGCTGGTACCGCCCTTGGCGGACCGCATCTCGACACTCTCTTCGCAGTCGAAAGACTCGGCGATGTCCTCCTCGAAGCGAGCATCGATGCCCTTGAGCTGCTCGTAGGTGAGCTTGTCCATGGGGTTGTCAGTCTTCTCTGACAGGGCAACGACCTGGCCCGAGATGTGGTGGGTCTCTCGGAAGGGGACGCTCTTGCGGATTACCTTGTCCGCAAGATCAGTGGCCAGCATGAGAGGGTCGAGAGCGGCCTTCATCTTCTCGGGCTTGGTGTCCAGAGTAGCCAACACACCCTCTGCAATGCGGATGCTGTCGCTGACGGACTTGGCGGTATCTAGCATGGGCCCCAATCCCTCCTAGAAATCCTTGTTGTAGGTGCTAGCAAGGTTCTTGAGGGTCGTCATGAAGCCAGTTGCCCGGCCGATGACACGGCCGCTCTTGCCTCGGAGGAGCTCGAGGCTGTCAGGGTTCTTTTTCTGCGGCATCAAGGAGCTTCCAGTAGAGTAAGTGTCGGCCAGGCGCACGAATCCGAACTCGGCCGTGGAGTAGCACGGAGTTCCACAGCAAGCCATCGCAGCCAAGTTCCTCGGCCATCATGTCTCGGTCGATGTTGAAAGGGTTTCCGGCCAAAGTGCCGCAGCCCAGCGGGCTCTTGTTGACACGCTGGAGTCTCTCCAGATCGCTGGCAAAGGACAGACCGTAGGACATCATCCAGTGACTCCAACGGATGGGCTGAGCTCGCTGCAGGTGGGTGTAGCCGGGCATCACGAAGTCAATCTCCGACTCGGCGCGGGATGTGATGACCTTGAGAAAGCTGACCAAGTAGCTCTCGATCTTGCGCATCTCATCGCGCAGCCACATTCGCATGTCACATACGCATTGCTCGTTCCGGCTTCGGGCAGTGTGCAGCTTGCCGGCAATCTCCTTGCCAATGATCTCGCCGAGGCGGCGCTCGTTAGCTGTGTGGATATCCTCGTCGACACCAGGGATGATCTTGAAGGTATCCGACTCCCACTCCTTCATGACCTCATGCAGACCCTTCTCGATCTTGCTGAACTCATCTTCAGTCAAGATGCCACCCTTGCAGTTGGCCCAGGCAAAGGCTATGCTGCCCAAGATATCTTCTCGGAAGAGAGCCTTGTCAAAGTAGATGCTCTCGTTGTATGCGACCATCAGGGGGTCGAGACCGCCTTGAACGACTTTAGCATACACATTTCCATGGCGCTGGTTGCGGTATCAACTCGTCGAAGATTTTGTCAGGCGGCGGGTGAGTCAAAAGTACCAGTTAAGCGGCCTCCCCACAACATGTTCTCACCGGGCTTGCTGCTGGGCGCCATTTTTGCTAACTCGATCGGTTTCTTCACGGAATGAAGTGGACAGAGGATGGGATGGAAATGATGAATCAATTGACTTCCACGTTAGCTGCATATCTGGCGAGCCAATCCCACGTATCAGCACCTTAAGCACCGGCATCGCTTCGACAATTTGCATCATCCATGAAAGGCTGGCATTCCGCCATCTGAGTTGCTCTTGTGATGATTTGAAGCAACTCGCCTTAGAGCATGGGGCCAATGTCCGACGAGAGTTCCAAACTGACTCCGAAGTTCCCTATTTTTGTCCTACCAAGGAGTGCGTACCTGGGACTTCCTTGCATCTGCCAACGGCCATAGGTACAAATCTAGGCACAAACAGTCTCTTGCTTCTTGCCTCGATTCTCTCGATTCTGGCCGATCAGGACTTCACACGAAGGTTGTGTGGTATTGTATGCCGACCTTGCCTACTGTCGTATCTGGAAATGCGTAACCACCGGTGTACCTACAGTAGATCTATAGCCCAAGGTAGCAAGCAATACAGCGTCCATCCACTCTAGCCAGTCCCGATCATAGCAGACACGGCTATTTCCGCATACAGTAGGTAGAGGTTGCAAATACTCGTTCCAGTTGGCCAATCCAACTATCCTCTTTCGCCCTCCGGCTGACAATGCCTTGGATGCTATTGGTCACGAGAGGCCGTTGAGCGTTTCGCGAGGTCGCGGCTCAACAGAGACATCTCCTGATCATCGAGAAGTTTTGATTTGCTGGAGCGACGACGAATCTTGCGACTGGCCCCACGGCGGGCGGGCACGCCCCATCCTGAGCCGGAGCCAGCTGCAGGCGCGCGCAGGGTTGGTGGCTGACAGCGGGACAGCTCAGCAAGCTCAGTGACGTTTATAACAACAAGATGGCCAACAGGCAGGAAGCGGCCGGCGGACATTTGCGAATGTCATTCCACAGTGAGCTGTCAGTCGCGCAACTCGGCTTCCCAAGCCAGCAGTCTTGTGATCTCTCGCCAATCCATCTCGTCTGTTCCTCTGCAGCTCCCTATTTAGAGGCACTCTGCGTCTTGCAAAGGGTGGAGAACCTATCCTCCTCGGGTACCTAGATATCAAGCTCCCAAAACGACCCCGCAGCACACTCCATTTCGTCCAGTATTGCCTATCCTTGAGGCTATTCGTAGGGGAGTAGCTCAGCTTCGGAGGCATGGCCCCTTCTGTCATTCACCTTCCGGATGGCCAGACCATTACTGCGCAGCCTGTCTTCTCCGGTCTGTTTTTCAAGTCGAATGATTTGAATAATCGCCACTCGCCGTTTCCGGCGGGGTGGACCGTGGTGCTGCATACTGAAGATCGCGACCAGGGACATCAGTCGAACGGCGACGCTCAACAACATCAGACTGATGATGCTGCTGCACCACACGCTGACCGAGACCACGAAAGCAGGAGGCATATCCGCAAATTTACAACGCCGACTCTTCAAAATGACACCATTTTCATCTCAAGCATCTCGACTCCCTCATCAGACGACTTCGAGCCCGCCAAGAGCCCCTCTCGCCAAATAGCGCTGATGCTCTATATTTCGCTGTACTGGTACTTCCAGCAGCCCGAGCCGTCTCCGTATCTCGAGACAGCTCAGTCGAGGCATACGCCTGCTGCGGCTAAACCGAAGGGTGAATGGCGCATTAACATCAAGCGTGAGGGCGTTTTGCACTCTCGGAATATGATTCCAAAGCTTGAGAGAATGGGTCTCATCTCATCCCTGGATTCCGCCGTTGGAACATGCGTCGATGAGAACTCAGAAGGTTGGGACAGCATGTATGTGACAAGACAGAGCTTCTGGCAGATACCCTTCGGGGAGTTCCTGTTCAGTCTGCAACCCAGGCGTCGTGGCTCACACCCCGGATCCCCAATAAGCAGCCGACCTACCTCGCCTGTGAAGAATGAGTCGGGCCAGAGGCATTTCCATTCGCCGGAATCATCATTGGGGTTACTCTCTGCCGATTTACCAGGAGGCACTGTACCTACGGCCGTGGCCAGCAACCCCGTCGTGCCCCTGAGTCCCTATTACTCTGCATCTCACCTACCGACCTACTACCCTCCAGCCCCCCTTCAATACGTTGTAACCAATGGTGTTCGGCACCCGCTGCGTCCAAAGCCACCACGCATGGGAGAGATATTCTATACAAGATATGTCCCCACTGTCGGAAAATATCTTTCGTTCCGCGTCGCCTCAGTGTCGAATAAGCCGGTTCCTTTTCTGGGACCCGTTAGTGGCAGCCCGCGGGAACACGAACATCTCATGACCTTGTCTGATACATCGCTACTTCAGATGTGGCTATCCAATCCTCGTGTCAGCAAGTTTTGGGGAGAGTACCACGGCTCTTTTCTTACCGACGCACTGAAGATGAAGCATTCTTTTCCCGCCATTGGTATGTGGGACGGCGTACCCTTCGGTTATTTTGAACTGTATTGGGTCAAAGAGGACATTCTAGGAAAGTATACGAATGCAGAAGACTTCGATAGAGGCGTGCACGTGATAATTGGCGAGGAATGGGCCAGAGGCAAGGTCCCTCAATGGCTGTCAAGCCTGGCACACTGGGTATGGCAAGCAGACATTCGGACGATGAACATGTGTCTTGAGCCAAGGGTTGATAACGAAAAGTACGTCTTTCCTTTGGGCAATAAATTTCCAACAATGATACTAACTTTTCTCAGGTTTATTGCGCACCTGCAGAATGAAGGCTTCCACAAGGAGCGTCAAATTGCTTTCCCGCACAAACAGAGCTGGCTAGTCCGCCTCGCCAGAGACAACTGGACAGGCCCACGTCTATAGAATAGGGCCGTCAGACCGTGTTTGCGACGTCTACGTGGAAGGCTTCGCGCTAGTGAGGTATACTGTCTGAAAAGAGCAACTTGGACGAAAAAGATGGAGTTTTAGACCAGAAATGCCCTTGATTGCGCTGGTATCGCCGTTGCCCGCATATGAGAGGAGGATACACTTGCAGTTCATCCAGCGGATTTTGAATTTTTATCATCTGATACTACAATAGATTCATCTGAAAGCGCGACCTCGGTGTAAAGTCGAGATGGAATCCCAACTCCCAAGTATACTGGTCGAACTACCATGATGCTGTAGAATTTTCAAAGAATTAGGAGACAACCGGAACGTACCTCCAAGGAACTTTCTTTGTCTTAGGTGTCTCGGTCCCGAGATTTTAAGGTTGGCGATGCCCGATGACCTCATACATAGCATCAGCTCAGTGATTAGCTTCAATACTCACTCAAGGCAAGCAATCGAGTTCGCATGAGTTGAATCCGATTCTCGTCTCAAATCTCTCCTCAGGTATGCCATAAACCTAGCTCATACCGAAGTATCAAAGTTTCATATTCATGTGTCGTGAGCAGTGAGGCCGTGTATTTGTCGTAAGACCCCGCGCAGAAGTTAGTACTACCGCCACGCAATATGGCGACAAGAACATACCTCGTTGTCGGGGCCACAGGCCAGCAAGGAGGCTCCGTCCTCGCGGCGCTCAACCGACTCCTGGGGTCTGCTGGCACCGGCAGCCCTGGCCCCATCATCCTGGCTCTCACGCGTTCGGCCAGCTCGGCCAAAGCCCAGGGACTGTCCTCCCGTTATCCCAACCTGGATCTCACAGTGACCGAGGGCGATATCAGGACCCCCAAGCCCATCCTGTCGTCGCACCCGGGCATCACCTCGGTCTTCCTGTACACGTCGCCGCCCAGCGAAGAGTCGCAAGCGTTCCCGCTCATTGACGCGGCCGCCTCAGCGGGCGTCTCGCACATCGTCTTCTCGTCCGTGGACCGCGGCGGCGACGCCCAGTCCTGGAAGACGCCGACCGACGTCGGCCACTTTCTGCAGAAGCACAACATCGAACTACACCTGCGCCGCGCGGCCGAGCAGAGCCGTGGCAAGCTGCGCTATACTATATTGCGGCCTACTGCCTTTTTTGACAACCTGAACCCGACGTCGCGGTTCGGGGCCGTCTTCGCCAGCATGTGGGCGGGCATGTCGCCGTCGACGCGGCTGCAGCTCGTGAGCGTGCACGACATTGGGCTGTTTGGCGCAAAGGCCCTGCTGGACCCCGAGAGGTGGGATGGCAGGGCTGTCGGGCTCGCGGGCCAGGAGATGACGTTCGAGCAGGCGCAGGAGGTCTTCCGCAACGCGGCAGGCAAGGAGCTGCCGCAGTCGTACTGGATCGTTGGGAAAGGCATCAGATGGGCCATTGGCGAGGTGGGGAGAATGTTCCACTTCTTTGAGCAGAGTGGCTATGGGGTGGACATCGCGAAGTTGAGGGAGGAGGAGCCAGAGTTGCAGGACTTTGAAAAGTGGCTGAGGGAAAGCAGCAAATTTGACTTGGAAAGAACAGGGTGATCGCCATTGTGTAGGTGGGAGTAGGGACGGCTCAGCGGCAAGTGCTCCAGGTGCATCTGCGAGGATTCTGGAGCCATGTTTGATGTCAACGGGATTCGATGGGATGATCGTGATGATCAAATTTGAATCAATTTAACCATCATGTTCTGTTCACCATAGGAAAGGGTATCGAAAATTCCAATTATACCCAAACACCGAAACAAAGACACCGTCGATAGTGATTGGCCACAAGAGAATCAGACTCTGGACGCTACCTTTTCAGACCCAGCCACCAGAGAATAGGATGCCTCAGTATCGTGATAATTCGTTGACTTGACTGTTAGTGGAGCACTCTTAATGCTGCTTAACTGCTTCGGCGCCCATAAGGCTCAAAGGGAAAAGCCGCGCTGACCACTGCCATTCCGATGAAGAGGGCTGCACAGACATAAATGGGCGCCGATGTCGATGTATCTGCAGTCGTGCCCACAACGGCGGAGATGATTCCCATAATGCGGTTGCATGCAACCGCAATACCGTTGCCTGTAGCTCTGTGGGCGCTGGGAAGGACCTCCGGAGTGTATGCGTCTAAGATTTCAACGTTAGCCATGTGCTCACTGCCGATATTTCAGTGGTCAAGGGTTTGAAACTGGTAGGCCTCACTCAGGAAATAGTGGAGAGCGGCACTTGATCAGGTTGGAAAGGGATGGGACTGAATCTTACATAGGGTTCCATAGTAGATATTCTGTATTGGAAGCGTGTCAGTCATCATTGCGGACCAGTGCAAGGTATATTGCAGTAGATGTGTAGCACCGAGATGGATGGTGCAATTTTGGAGAAAGACTTACGAGACAAAAGGCAATAGCACAGGAGAAGCCAACGTTCTGTTCTGGGGTGTTCACCGCTGTGTATGCGAAGAAGAAAGCCATGGTGACGAGTGCCCCGATGACCATGGTGTATTTTCGTCCCAGGAGCTTAAGGTTACACATCCACCCTGCGAGCATTGGACCAAAGATGCCGGAAACATTGGTCAGAGCGTAGTTCCTCCAAGTGTCATACGTACTGACCCCTTCGTACGCTCCCCGGCTTTTGAGGTAAGAGCTGTGCCGTGGCATTAGCTTGAGGTTCATTTCGTAAAGGGGAGGCCGTAACGAACCTCAGGAAAACGTAGAAAAGTGGATACGCAAGACCGATCAAGGTCCAAGAAAACCAGATAAGTATAGTCGAAATAGCTATCTGCCTAGTGGTGAATAGGCCGCTCAGATGAATGTATGCTTCGCGAAGAGAGAACCGGTTTTTGCTGTGGGCGGATTCGACGGTGCCACATGCCTCAAGCTTTTCAACAGTCAATGAACATGATCGACCGTACTTCTGGGCAATGCTTTGAAGCGATTCCACCATCGCTGCGTCGTCGCCTGTGCCCAGGAGGTACTTTGGTGTCTCCTTGAGCCTTATGATTGTTACCCGCAGGATTGACATGACGAGAACAAGCGCGCCTGCAGTAAACATAGTGTACCTCCAGCCCCAGTTTGAGTCCCGAGGACAGTTTTCGGCTGACGTGCAGTTCCATTGTTCGGGCACTTATCAATAGTTAGTACGCTGAAGAAAGAAACAGAAACCAGCTTACCCAAGAACCCCCAGGCGATGAATCCGGTTATGGCTTGGCCTAGACCCCACCAACAGGCTAAAAATGTGAGAACCCACTGCTTGTTCGATGGTAGGTATTCCAGAAACACCGTCGTGTCCAAGATCAGGTTTCCGCCACCGCCGAATCCGACCATTGCAATGAAGAATCCCAATGACGGCCAACTTGGCGCAGCGCCAGCTACAATGGCAGAGCCGGAGCAAATGAAGAGCGAAATGTTGAATGCCCCTGAGACAGATCAGCATCTGATTCTCAGAGTATGATTCAGAAGGAGGCATCAGGAAGCGAGACATAGAAGCTCCTCATACTTACATCGTCTTCCAATGATATCGGCGCTCAAACCCCAGAAAATGGCACCTGTGAGCATGCCGACTAGGAATAGAAATATCAGTCCATGTGTTAGAAGGGGCCGGGCTTTTCGAGCCACATACCGTACACCGAGATCGTAAGGCCGGCCGAGTAACCGACTTGGCCGAATTCCGTGAAGGCCGGAGTTGCGATAACCGATTGCAACAGGAGCACCAAGGAGTCCACAGCATAGCTTGATATGTCACATCAGATTCGGGCCTGCCAGAGCTGCAAAGGGGCAAAAGTCGCATACCCAAAACCATTCAGGACAAACAACTTCCAATGATAAGGTGTCCAACCAATCTCATCGATGGCCTGGCAAGTTAGCTCAAATTCACGACCCAGGCTTAGTAGGCTTACGTTGTTGACCAGGTGCATTTTCATATTCAATGCGGCATCAAGATCTTGCAGCGCGAGGATATCCTCGCCGTCCCCTCTGGCGACATCGGGGTGTTGAGCATCGTTGCTATGGCCCAAGTCTATCTTCGCCTTCTCAGGGTCAACTTGGGAACTGTGAGCCGCTGCCATTCTGTGTGAACCTCGCCAGGCCCGTAAACAAGCTCAAGTGTTGATGTGCTTTGCTGTTGGTAAAAAGAGTCTCTGGTGTATCTAGGCCAATTGCAAGGATATTGGCGCGATGCCGCAACTTCGACATGTGCGGATGACCTGTTGCCCTATTGGGGTAATGCGGCAGAGTTATATAAACTCGAGTGCGCTACAAAGCCATGAAAACAAGATCTGAAAGCACAACCTCCCCCCGCTCCCGCTCGGCGCATGTAATGTTGCCTCTACACTCAGATCCTTTCAAACGTCCGCAGGCTGGGCAGGCTCTATGGGGAAGGGTCCCTGGGTATTAGTTGCTGTTAGTACGTGCCGATCGCTGGTAAGCTAGGAACTCCCTGGCAAAAACGGCGCACGTGCTCCCTGGCCGCACCCAGCGCACCAATGGGCGCCGCAGTCACGACGCTCTCAGTTAACCCCCATATCTCCTCAACCCACTAAAGCCTTTAGAACCCACCGCTAGACTATCTTCAACTCGGCCGCTATTCTATCAACGTGCAGCGGCCTAAATGCTGTTCTCGGGAGTCTCCGACCGTCTCAAAAGCCCGTCCTTCTAGTGTTTTGACATATCCTCTTGCCTCGTGGGCGTACTCGGTTAGATTCAGAGGATTTCTCTAAATTGGTGAGTCTCCGTCAGCAGGCAAGCTGGCAATCGCATTCCCTGATACATCACCCAGAAAATGCCGACTCAATTCCAATGGCCGGGCGACGGATTCTCAGCGACCTTTTATATTCCACACAGGAGAGGGGAAGAGGCACAATTGCAGGTTCTGGCATAGCCAGTCTCATTCGTACTGACATAACACTCAGAAAACTATTGGTTCTATGCAACTTGCAAGGGACGGAGATAATGACAATTAGTGTGGGGATTCGCTAGGAAACGTGCCAACGATCCTCGCCGCCATTGGACACTGGATTACAGCTTTATGTAGGGATCTGTTAGCGAGGAGCAGCCTGGCATCATCTTCATTGCGCCTCTTACGAAGTGCAGCCCACGTCTCCCTTTGAAGGCGAGTGGTGTTCCTGGGTACTTTTCAACGCATTTGTGTCGCCCCTCATTGGAAGCCGGGGCTAGTCGCCGGGGGCTTACTGCAAGTCGGATGCACGGGGATTAACTTACGTCGTACTTCTCCTCTGCAAGTCCGATCCCTAGGTAGGCAGAGATGCAAGTCGCAATACGTCTGACCAGCCAACCAACTTACTGGGATTTGAAAGTGGCCCAGTCAATGTCAGCCCTGAAAAGCTTGTCCCTGGAACACCACATGGGATGAACGTATAGTAGCGGCCAATTATGATGTCGACCATTACCACGGGATAGGGACCGGGACTGTAATGATGCATGAGGTAAGGATTATCCACGACGGTTGGAAGATCGTCTTGCAGGACGATTCATCGACCAGGCCCTCATGCCACTACATATTGGAAGCCATGCCCTCTATGTCTACCTGGTTTTTGGATCCGGCTGCTAGACTTGTTCCCCGCGTAGGTTGCTGCAATGGTACGTGCAATCGACATCTTGCCATTGGCCTCTACGGCTCTGGCTGCCTTCACGGGCAACCTGAACTACTTCTCCCCCTCTCTGCACCACCCATCCTTGGGTGTATCGATCAGCAAAGTTGCGAAGCGAGCGTACGCCAGCTCGCCATGGGATCCATCGCAGCTCAATTTCACTCACGGCGTTGCCAGTGGTGACCCTTACGAAGACAGTGTTATTTTATGGACAAGAATTGCACCGTCGAGTGATAACGATAAGAGCAATGTCACCGTTTCTGGAACCGCACCTCTGTTCGGCCATGATAACGAGGGATTCGTCTCTAAGAGTGATTCTCCCGTCTGTGTAGATTGGAAAATAAGCACCACGGACTGCTTTACCACCCTCGCAGACTCTGGAACCGCTTTTACCAGCTCGGACGTAGATTTCACCGTCAAAGTCGAAGCCAAGAAGCTGCAGCCTTTCACAACGTATTGTATGTCAACCAGAGGCACTCCTCAATGGATCAAAGTAACTAATGCACGTCCAGACTACCAGTTTAGCGTGTGTAATTCGGCCAACGCCTCTCCAGTTGGCCGCACAAAGACCATCCCATCCAAAGACGCGAAAGTTGACACTGCCATCAAAATTGCTGTGTATTCCTGCAGCAATTATCGTAGGTTGATCACCAAAGGCCCTTGCGGTCGTCACTAATCACCTCTGCAGCTATTGGCTTCTTCAACGCGTATGGAAACCCAGTCAGAAAGGACTCCGTTGATTACGTCATTCATCTAGGTGATTACATCTATGAGTACAAAAATGGCGACTATGGTTGGGGAAACTCATATGGGCGAATCCCACTGCCCGACCGGGAGATCTTCACGTAGGTTTTCTTGCTAATACTATGTTGATGTTCCTGCGACTAGTCATTGACTTGATCCGCAGTCTCTACGATTACAGGAAGCGTCTTGCAACATACAGGACAGACTTGGACCTGGTTGCAAGTCATCAGAACTTCCCTTGGATCCCGGTCTGGGACGACCATGGTAAGTATGGCTCTGAAATTTGAACACCGAGTGTCTTGAATGCATCTGATCCATGGAAAAGAGGTTTCTGATAACACCTACCGAGACGGCGCATCTGAGTTGAACAATACTGAAGACTCTTTTGTCAAGGATGGCGGTGTCTCTGTCGATCAGCGGAAGATGAATGCCGTACGTGCATATTTCGAATGGAGTGAGTGAGATAGCCTTCTGTGTAATGATCCCAAGCTTATCTTCTTTCAGTGCCTATCCGCCAGGTGGAGATGGACGACAACCTACGCATCTGGAGAGACTTCAGCTTCGGCGACCTGTTTGACTTGGTTATGCTCGATACCCGTCAGTATGACCGTTCCATCACTGATTTGTACTGGAACACGGACTACATCCACGCAATTTCTCAAGATGCCGGGCGCAGTCTTATGGGTCCTCGCCAAGAGGCCTGGTTTTACCGCAAGTTGAAAGAAAGTTCTTCGCGTGGCGCAACATGGCGAATCATTGGAAACCAGATCGTCTTCAGCCGTATGAACGAGAGTCTGGGACTAGGAGCTGAGAACCCTCTCAACGGTGACGCTTGGGATGGATATGGCGCGAACAGGAACCGCACGTTCCAAGTTATCGACGAGAATAAAATCAGCAATACTGTTTTCCTTGCTGGTGACTCACACGCCTCGTGGGTCTCTGACTTGGTCTGGCTCGGGGAGCATGACTATGACGAGAAGACGGGAGCAGGCGCTGTGGGTGTTGAGTTCGCTGGATCCGCGGTTTCCTCGCCATGCCCCTTCGGGCAGAACATCACCATTGACAAGGCAAACTCGGCCTCGCAGTGGCTGACTGGCGCGAACCGAGAGCTTCAGTGGCAGGACCTGTACTACCGGGGCTACTACGAGCTGACGATTGGCTACGACTCACTCAACGCTTCTTACTTCGGAATTCCCACCACACGAGTCAAGCAGGGACATGAGATCTCGCTGGCCAACTTTACGGTATTGGCTGGCGAGAACCATCTGCATCGCCAGAGTAGCTCAGCAGCGGCCTCAAATGCGGAGAGCGGTAGTCTGAAGAACGGCCAGGTCATCCAGACAAATCTGACACACGATACGGAGTCTGATACGTGGTTTGTGTACGAGTACACCCCATTGGCATGATATAATCAGCCAAGTAAAGGGAAAGAAACTATAATGACGTCTTGCCAGTAGTAATTTGTGTTCAAGCGGGATATGAAGGAGAAATAATTTAGAGACAGTCTGATACGTTTTGGTAAGGGGGTATACACATAGATAGCTCCGCCAGCTGTCTATGGAAAGTCAGCTGGTGGCAGCTGGTTTGTAGATAAGGAGATAAGCTAGTTGTGTGGTAACCCACCTTGATAGGTGCCACGGATAGTTGCATTCTCCATCTTTAATACAACACACATCGCACCCCATAAGGATCGCATCACAGTCCGATTCCATAAACTACTATAATTACAATATCGCAAACATTTCTTCTACTCAATCTACGTACTCAGCCGCGAAAGGGGCCTTGTACGAAAGGAGTGGCTTGATCGTATATCGGACCCTCGCTGCCAGGCTGCAATGACTAGAACCACAAATATAGGACCACTGAGCACGAACGTGAAGCTGCGACCACTTCATGAAGTGACAGAACCTTTACCTGATTATGATGAGCTGGTTCTCCAAACTGTATTCATAAACTGTGCAGAGTCTAATAGGAACTCTACGGCTAATATCTGTACCCTTTGACTGCTCTAACGCGCTCTGACTCACCTGATTCGTGGTATGTCTAGAATACGAGCACAAATTTTGGCACCGAATTTGAGCCACCTTAGAGTGAACGGTTGTCATAGCACGACGTATCTCTGGGGAGGTCGTCCACTTGAGAGCTCAGATGGCGAGAGTTCTTCTCGTTATTGGAACGGTTTAAGCTGACTCTTTAGGGTCTGATATGATTGAAGAACAAAGTTTATCGTATAAATATATTTCTCATACAAACCTAACAGACCGTATTCCAGGGAACGAAAGTCGTTTTGAAAACCTAGACGTTTTGAAGAGAAAGATTTTACTTGCTCAGGCCCAAGAGACAAGCATAAATATCACACCCGTTCCCTCTTTACCCGAGAGCTCTTCCTCGTTCTTCCACCAACAAATTCAACTTCACACCCAAATCGAAAAGCAGAACCCACAACTTCCTACACTATTGGCATCCTAAATCTTCTCTCTCCTACCCGCACCACACACAAACAACACCATACTACAACACCATCTGTTACGTCGTCGACAGCCTGAAGCGACAAAATGGCCTCCTCCGTTGTTCGTGGTCAGATTTTGGTGGACGTTATCATCCTTCTGGAGCAGAATTACGAAGCGTTCTGGGACCTTCTCAACGCCCCAAACAGCAACAAACCCCTGAAAAAGTTGCGCAACAGAATCTTCAACATCCTAGAGAATCAAGTTGACCCTTGGATTGAAGCCTACTTCAACAATAGCAACGACAGCCTCAAGGATAGCCTTGTCAACACTCTCTTGGGAAGAACTACGTCTCAGGACTGGAAGTACCGTGACGAACAGATCCACCATGGATTCCGAGGTCACCGCCACGTCCGCCTCTTCAACGATTGGGGCCTCAATTATGCCTTTTCCGCCACTGGCCATCCTTCAGACGACCACGGAGTCGAGAAGTGGGTTCTCGATGGCTGGAAACTATTCTCGGCGGGCTTACGCAGCTTGGAAAATAAGAAAAGCGAGCGTCAACAAGCTCGAAACCATTTGTATTCACCCACTTCGGAGGCCGTTCAACCCCGTGAGCAAATTAGCGAAACATACTTCCATGAGCACCACTCCCGTCAACTTAGCAAACCCAAACGCCTTTCACGAGACCAGACCGACCCTGGTGCACTCCGGGCTCAGCAGCGGAGGGATACAGATGCGATCTCCGACCAAGAAATCGAAACTATGGAACAGACGCTGAAAGACCTAGGCGACGTCCTTTTAACCCATGTCCAGAACCCGGAAATCAGAGCCAACCTATGCCTGGACTGCGACGTTTGCCACAACATTGCCAAGGTCAACCACCTCATGCTCGCGGACCGCTTCCTGCAGAGAACGGGCGACGCATCATTCGCCACTGAGGGCAGGATCTCCATCAGCTCTTTCTTGCAGGGCAACTACGGGATCCACGAGCTGCCGCGCAGCCCTCGCTTCAAGAGCAGCGTAGAGACAACGATCCGCAATGTCGAAAAACAACTCAAAAACATACTCAACCCCAAGGTGTACCAGAAGGAGAATCGCGGCAAGCGCCCAGAACCTCGTCTCACCTACGAGCCGGATCTGTTCGAGCCTGAAAGAATTTCACTGTGCGACATTACCAATCTGAGTGTGGATTAGAAAGCGCATTCAAACTCGCCTCCTACTACTCAAATTTGATCGGAAAATTTTCCAAAGACTTTTCGAGTTACAGAGGTCAAGCTCTAGGAGGAACTCTGGAGGGAAATCAAGCGAGCCTGCATCGTTGAGGTGGATTGACAACCTATTATGTCGGATATTGGGAATGGTTGGACGGAATATCAGCGAATGAAAGACAAGACGGAGTTCTTGCACAAGCGATGGTTCAATGTTGACACTTTGGGATAAAGGTGGAACAGCGATTGTGACTCTTCATGGGTAGGAAAAGCAGGAGCTGTTGGAGCTCAACTTGTGGAAATACCCTTTGGAGTTCAGTGGGATGCAGCGCTGCAAAGTCAGATACAAACCCAAATTCCAATTGACAGTGCACAACACACACCAGATCAAATACTTCTAACTCACGTGTGCTTGCTTCTGTTTCAATGAGGCAGCAACTGGTCAGGTCACAGTGATGTTGATCAATGATACCTGATCATGCCGGATACCTATGAACATTTGCATATCGAAAATAAGCATAACGACGGAAACTCGTCGATCTGATATTGGGCAGATCGGCCAGCCGTCTTTTGTGGACAGTTATCAGGAATACTTGCTGGTAGGTTAGCTCAGGAGTCGTCCGGTCTCTCCTGGACCCCCGCTACGCGTAACATCGAATAGATCTTAGCATACGAAAGTGGCAACATGTACGTCAAATGAGTTCATCCTCAGGAGTACTGGTATCTGATACCACACTCATTGGTGGCTAACATTCTGGATTCTAGTCTCTTCTATATGTGACGGATCCCTCCAGCTGAATATCTCTTCAAACATTATTAAACTTTTTTATGGTATGTAGAATCCAAGCTTACGCACTCGTAGAAAGAGGCTTGCCATCCTCGGACACCAAGAAGACGTCAGTCTTCTGGGGGCCCTCGCCGACGCCGGTCATGATTACCCGGCTGACGCCAGTCTTGAGCGAGTCGCTCACTGCCTCGTCGAGCTGCACGCTGGACTTGGGGTTTGTGCCCTTCTTCCAGCCCTCGGTACTCTCCAGCAGCGCGTAGAAGGTGCCGAGAACCGTCTCGCTGTCCTCCTCGAGGTAGTAAATCACAGCGTTCGGGCCAGCATCGAAGGTGTAAGCGGCAATCGTCTTGCCCGCGGCGGCGTTGATGGCCTCAACAGCGCGCACGGCCGCCCTCGACACGTCGTTCATGTAGAAGATGGGCGGGTACGTGTCGGCGCAGGTGGCGTGAAAGGAGTTGGAGTCCCTCATGGTGACCTCGGCGAACTTGGGGAAGTCCCTGGCGGCAATGGCGGCCTCCATGGTCTCCATGTTGGCGGGCACAACCTCGGCGATTCTCTGCTGGAAAAGGCCCGAGGTCGCCACGGTCTGCTGCATACCGCTGGTCGAGCTCACGCCCTTCTTCGCTGCGCTCGCGACCAGGATCAGAGCCCGCATGTTCGGCCAGTGCGCGGCGGGGGCGACCTCCACCGCCTTCGAGTCCAGGCCATCGACATGGGCACCTGCGCGCCACGCCACGTATCCGCCGAACAGACTGCGGCAGGCAGAGCCGCTTCCCTGCCTGGCAATGAGGGAGAGCTCGGTGGGCGAGGCAGGCAGCTCGTACAGGTCGGCGATGGCGCGGACGAAGGCGGCGAAGCCGGCAGCCGAGGAGGCGAGACCGGCGGCGGTGGGGAAGTTGTTCTCGGAGACGAGGAGGAGCTTCAGCTGGGCGAGCTTGGGCAGCGACGCGTCCCTGGCCTCGACGGCGGCGCGGAGGGCGCGCAGCTCGCGCAGACAGGCCTGGGTGCGGGCGCCGGTCAGGTCGGAGGGCGAGCCGTTCAGCAGGAGGACGTCCTCGGTGTAGGTCTCGGAGCAGGAGGCGGTGGTCAAGGTGCGCAGGTCATCCTGGGAGAGGGTCACGGACAGAGACGAGTTCGTCGGGAGGTTGAGCTTGGGGTCGCGCTTCCCCCAGTACTTAACGACCGCGATGTTGACGGGAGCCGTCGTGCTAGCCCGGTAGACGACCATTTTGGTGAGCAGAGGATCCAGATGCGATCGGTGACCTTGAACAAGTTTGGGCTGTGGCAACGAGACTCGCACAATGTTCAGAGGCGGTCAGACTGGCACACAAACATCCAGAGTTATACGGCGGGGTATCGTCGACTCTGGTGGGGTCCAACGTCAATCCAGGGGTCTGGCCAGGGGGGTGGCTAGGGGGGGCTCGTCGATTGATTGCCAATTCCGCTGGGCGGCCCACGCCGAAAGGACATTAGCGGCAACTCTGTGCCATTAAGGTATATTCCGCTGTCTCAGCACCGAAAGATAACTCCTCAACTACATAACTACACGGCAACAGACGCGGCAGTTGGCAGTTCTAGGATGCGAATATATATCGCTGCCTCTCATCATACGATTATTCCTTCATACAGCGCAGCCAATGGACCCTCCCTCCCTGGTATCATCTGACGCTGTCCACCTGTGCATCAATGGCGGCGAAGAGACAACAAATTCGCTTCCTCAATCTTCCAGGATAGAAAAGACACCGCACTGTCTCGGGTCTTTCGCTAATATATTATATGACAAGCCTTGACAGCCTCGTCTCCGCCCAGCTCCCGCTTGTCGCTCTCTGCCCGTTCACGAGAAAATGCATTTCCCGAAGGAGAGAACATGCAGCAGGACAGGTGGCGTGTGGTAGAAAGAAGCTTGCGTCAGGCTATGCTCGCGACAGTCTCCATGAGATGACAAACGCAGGGTAACAAACCACGTAACTGATGGCCCTGCCGTGCGTAGGCGCTCACAGTCGAGGCGGACCGGGCTGACCGACCGATTCATCTTCCACGACTGCGCAGCAAATCAGTTGCAATTGAAGATGAGTCGCTTATGTTTTCGATCATACGCATGAAATGGACATATTGAGAATAAACACAGATGCCATAAGTCCGCGGCGAGTGGCTCTTTTTGTTTCAAACTTGGACGGAACAGACTCTTTCTATCTTGCCCGGCGAGTCTTGTCAGAAGACTGATACATGTTTGTTCAAATCGCTTACCATACAAAGTGAACCCCAGTCCTTGAATCTGACTTGATAGTACGTACCATGCCCCATATCAACGATAATTATGCCAAAATCAGGTGCGGTTCAGTGAAAGCTTCCTGCTTTCTCGAGCATGCTGTTATAAACCAACAACCAGCAACTTGACTCCCAGATTTATCATAGTCGCAAGGGCTATATTAGGCCACCAGCATGTACAGCAGATCACTGGCATCCCACGACGACAATACTCAGCAATGTTTGATATGGAAGAGCAGTCCACTAGCACATCTACTTGTTCTATGATTACGTATATGCTCACTATAACAGGCCCACAACTCGCTCCAAAAACCCCAGTAAGATCTCATAACCCGCAGGCAATGGTACTGCCTTTGATCCATGATTTCTCGACACGGTAGTTGTGGCAAGCACTGTGGTAGTCGCCTGGGTTGTTCTTCGGCTCGACGTCGTGGAAACTGGAATAGTCAGCACTGATATCGGAACGTTTTTGACGATCCAGGTCATGTTGATACTTACAGGTGAATCCATGGCGGTAGACTTTGCTAACCCAAGACGTATCCCCAGGGGCGGAACAGCCCAGGTAGTAATAGCTGGTCGGGCTGCCCTTGGACTCAAAGACGGTGACAGTCTCACACTCATAACCGGTTGCACTTAGCGATTGTTAGAACTGCCATTGGCTGTACTGGATCTGGCTCGATTCTCCAAACTTACCATCCGCCGTAGAATGTACCCGGACCGTACGCCGTCCCGCCGCTGCCACAGGAGGTAACACTCATACAGAAGGCGGCCGTTGCATCACAGCACATTCCGTAGCGGCCGTTGAAACCCGTGGCAAAATAAGAGCTCGAAGAGCACGACCTTGTTCCCCCTGGCGCCAGATCAACATAAGACTCAAGATAGAGCACAGGGCGGGAAACTTACACGAAGGGCCATCTCTTTCATCTGGCCAAGGGAAGACGCCAATCACATCGGAATACCAGTTCGTGCCATTTGCTGCGTTCTCGACAACATCATTGATCTCAGGCGGCGCTGTTATGACCGAGGCCGCGGTGTCAATGGTAGCTGCAGGCAGAGACTGAGTTACTGTGGGAGTGGACTGGGCCGCCACTACACTGGTGAAGGTTAAGACGCCGGTGAGCAGACGCAACGTTCTCAGCATCTTGAATGCACGATTTGAAGTGTCAAAATAGTTGCATTTACTGTGGCTGCCACGCAGAGGCGCGGTGAGCTGAACTTATTCGATTCCTTGGGGGTATGGTACCCGCTGGGGCTGAAGGCCTAGCTCGCAAGCCAAGAACCGACATCGTGGTTAGCGCTGTCCAGCTCCTGCTTTTCGGTCATCCTGTGATTTTATCATGGCCAATCCAGTAGTGACTCTATTCTCTAGTGACCTGGGATTCCTGTTAGCCCTTTCAAAGGATTATTGGTGAGCAACGGCGGTTGATCGAAATGAGACCACGCAGTTTGGCTCTCACTTAGTAACTATAAGAGACCAACGAAGCTGGTAGCAATCTAACGTCCATAATCAGGGATAACAGCTCATTCATTGGCTTTTTATTTATGACGATATCCTCAAACGGCTTTGCTGGTGCGATCGCACACTTGGTGATATGTGCTCCCGTCAAGTGGATGAGAGAACCGAAAGACTAGCTGCCTTTGTAAGCCACCACATATTACCGCCTTTTCCCACTACGGTTTGGCAGTTGAGTATCCTGAAACAAGATCCAGGAACTGAATTTCCCTCGACTTGATGTGCAGAGGGTCGGTGGCCGCAAAGTACGGCTTATAGTACTCCTTGGGGAATTGGTTCTAGCGAAAGGGTTAGTTACTCGCTTTATCCCGTGAGAACCCTCACGACCGCTGCGGCTGTACGAACCTGGATAAGCCATTCTTTCGACACGGACCAGTTTTCAACCCAGAACAGCGTGCCGGGCTCCTCCTGTGACTGGTACATCTCGAAGAACGTGCACTCGGGCTCGGCGATGATCTGGTCGTAGGCCGGCTTGAAGTGCTCGAAAAACTTGGGCAGGTCTTCCGGTTTAAGGTAGATCTTGACCTGCAGGCTGACGCCCTTAGAGGAGTTTGCCATTATGCTGAACTGTGCTGGACCACGCGGAAGACACAAATGCCGTGTTGTAGGTGGTTGTGTTAGAGAAGATGGATGTTGGCAGTCTTCGTTTATTTTTTTAAGGTTGCCGCCGTCTGAGCGGGTCGCTTGCCGCCAATGTGCAGACCCGGCTTCGCAGTGAGATGCTAATAGCGCTTGAGCGATCACTGATACTGAAGTAACCTTGACCGTGGGCAAGTAGAGACAGCCGCATGTATACTTCTAAGAGAGATGATATATAGCGTTTTCAATATGTCTGGGGAAGCTCTCAGTGGCCTTCACCGAAATGCCGAAACTGTTGCGATCTTGTCGGCAAGGGCACCGGGCCGGTGTTTTGGTAGATCTTCTGCACACCCTGCTCTACCAACGCAACGAGTCCAAGACACCTGACCAGCAAGGATTTGCAGTATAATCAGACAGTATAGTCGCATATTCTCGATTCGCATCTGGAATCATATTATATTTCTGGCAAGGCCAATAAGTGAGCAGCCCCTTCAACGATTGTCGCTTGGCAGTATAGACGATAACTCCTTGCTACGGTCGTGACCTCTGGAGATAGGGTCTCGCGCAAAAGTCGTGGGTATCGTTTCACCAATCATTCTGTGCGATAAGCAGTATGAGACGTTCGGATCCTATTGGGAGGTCACACTGCAGACGTAGTATCTACGAAATGCGGCTCTGTCCCGTGTCAATATATCAATCTGACCCAAAGCGGTACGACGCAGCGGAACCTTCCGAGATCTCTCCACATTTAAAAAAAAGTCTCAAGTCCAAGAGAACCACGCGCCCGAACGCGCCCCGATTAAACCCATCGTTAGCGCAGCTTGCAAGGGACGAACGACCCTCTCTGCTAGCCTTGAAAGAACCGAAGCTAAGGGGAAATTTCGAGATGACCTCAATATGCTGCAGGACTTGATCGACCAGGTCTTCATCACCGGCAGCAGACTCGTCTCTCCCGCCCCGACCGCCGCCATGACAGACCAGAAGGACCCGGCGACGTGTCCCGTCGACCACAACAGCCGCGAGGCCTGGCTGGAGCAAGCCCGCGCCGCGTCCTCGGCCGCCCAGAAGCAGCAGCAGCAGCCGAGTCGCAACGACCTCCCGCCGTCACACCCCCCCGTGACAGCCGGCGACTCGCAGGAGGCCTGCCCCGTCGACCACAAGGCCCGCGACGTCTGGATGCAGCAGGCCCGGGCCGCCGGTGCCTCTGCCTCCTCCTCGAAACCCACCCCTCCACAACCCCAGCCGGCAGCGACCACGTCTTCCTGGACGAGCTCGCTGCTCTCCTACCTCCCCTTCGGCTCCTCGTCCACATCCACCCGGCCGTCGGACCCCTCGACGACATCACAGACCCACTACTCGCTCGACACGTCCCGCGTCGTGTCCACGATACCGCGGACGACGCTCCCCAGCGGCGGTGCCGGCGGACCCGGCGGCAGCAGCCACGAGCCCCCGCGGCCGGCGAACCAGGAGCTGGAGACGGGCGCGGACCACGCGAGCGGGAACTGGGTGTACCCGTCGCAGAAGATGTTCTTCGAGGCCATGAAGCGCAAGGGCCACGATCCGCAGGCGGCCGACATGGCCACCGTCGTGCCGATCCACAACGCCGTCAACGAGCGGGCGTGGGCGGATATCAAGGAGTGGGAGGCGCCCTACATCAAGGGCACGAGGTGAGTCGATCCCGCCGCGGTCTCTGTATAGCTGTACATGCCCGGCCGCGCGTTGGCGAATTTGGCTGTGGCGTTTCCGATTACTAACGCCTGGGGACAGCTGCGATGCTCCGAGGTTAAGCTCCTTTGCCGGGCTCAGCACCAACATGTCGCCCAAGGCCCGCATTAATACCTGGCTGGGTTACCAGTCGCCCTTTGACAGACACGACTGGGTGATCGATAGGTGTGGGACCGAGATAGAGTATATAATTGATTTCTACGCCGGCCGGCCGACCGGTGACGGGAAGCCGTCTTTCTACTTAGACGTACGGCCGAAGCTGAACAGTTGGGAAGGGGTCAAGATGCGTGCCCTCAGAGGGCTGGGTGTGGCTTAATCGGGTTGTATGTAAGATTTGGGACACAGAGTAGCGGATTGGCAGTCTTGTTCATTCCATTGTATGACTAGGGCGAGGGAGGAAGCAATTCGCCAGGTTTATGCTATATTGCGGCAAAGTGGCCAAGCAATAGGGGGTATCTTACAGATCCTTACTCCATAACGCCATTTCCCTCCGTGGTTCAATCCACAACAATCCGGATCGCTGGTCCGGTCTCCAGAGCACCTGCATTAAGATCCCAACCAGCACTTGCGAGCGCTTTCCAGAACTCGTCGTCAGAAAATGCCCCGAGAGCATCCATGTATGCTGTAAGCGCATCTCGTGTGGTTGCTCCAGCCTTGAGAAAGATCACTTTGGTTGCGCCTAGCTCTGAAACGACATGATTTTTGTGCTCGTGGGCACGAAGAACCGAAGTGCTGAGTTGGCCGCTCTGGGGAAATGTGCGGCTGAAGATGATCGGAGGCGGTTTCCAAGTGAGAATTCTTTCCTTCTTGGCAACCTCGGCCGGGTAGAGGACGCGGCCACTTCGTCGGTACTCTTCGACGATAATGCCAGCCCTCTGTCGGTTCAGGGTGCGCATCTGGACAGCGCGCACGGCCTGGTAGTTGGTCCAGAGGTGGATTCCCAGCAGTCCAAACATCCAGATCCAGACTGCGGTTCTACCCTCAACCACATGGACGACGAGGCTGCCGACAAGCATACCCATCAAGGAGATGACGGTTTCCTGGCTGCCGTCTTTGGCGTTGAGCTCTGCAAGGTTGCCATTCTTGGCGAAGTGTGCGCTGAGACTTGCCTTGGCCGCGCCGGCTGCCACACCGCAGAGTGAGCGGAGGACACCTGCGGCGCAGAGCGCGAGGATCTTGGGACCTTGGGGGAGGGAGGGGGTTAGGACATCGAGCAGCAGTGCCGAGTCGTTGAGGATGTCGGCCAGGAAGCGGTAGTACTTGCACTCAGGCTCGATGGCCTGGCCGAAACGGTGGGCGAAGAGGATGGTGGCCAGTCGGCCGGTGGTTTCCTGGAGGACGGACAGAAGGACGGCGCCAGTGGCCGAGGAGCCGGCCTTGCCTACGCCAAAGCCTTGGAGGACTGCTCTGTTGGACATCAAGCCAGCAATAGAACTAGAGAATGCCTGCAATGAGTCGTAGATCTGGTAGGGCATGTAATCAGCCGTGACTGTGTGCGGGTACCCCGCGGGCAGAAACACGTCGAGCAGGCCCTTGGCATAGCTTCCAGTGGTCTTCTTGGGTGGCTGTGTGCTAGAGTCAGCATGAGGAATAACCACGACGCGCAGACAGGGTGGCCAACGTACAATCGCGTTGTAGGAGCCATTGTTAGCGTCCTGTGAGTAGGTGCAGACGACAGCACCCGACTCATCGACGGCGTTTACAAGCTTGGGGGAGGAGGACGCCATCGTGAAGCCAACCTCGAAAGCCTGCGACGGTGAGATGATGCAAGCTTGAACCCTGGTCGGTCTGGAACACTGTTCGTGTCTGGGGAAGAACTAATTGGGCCAGAACAAGCTTGTGGGGTAGGCTTAGCGCGTCTGTTCCATTGGTTGGTTGCCCCAGGTACTGTAGTTACCGTACCTTGCATTGTACGTGACTCTGGGTGCGCAGCTTTTGAGGTTATAATTCAACAGGTTGCTGCAATAACAGGAGGGTGCTGTTACCCGTCTCTTGAAGTATGTGTTATTCACCCTGTTGGATTCTCTTCGCGTGCGCGCATATAGACACGCAAGAGGGACTGGCGTACTTTTTGTATACCGAAGCAAAGTGCACTGTCCGTCAAGTGTATATCCTGTCTACCTAGGTACTCATGCTGCGCCAGATCACGTCTGGGCCTCGCTCTGGCTGGGACTGCTATGTATGGCACGCAACACCAGTGCGCAACTATGACAAATGGAAGACAAGCCTGCCCCAGACAGAACGCCGATACCGTCGTGAAATGAGATGTGCGGGTTAGCATCGGCGTGGAGCACCTGGAGAAACGCACAGATGCGTACAGCGTTACTAGTACGTAATTGAGAATCGGTGCATGTTGCTCATCCCATAGGTAGTCACATACGGAGAGCTCGGCCCAGTTCGAAGATAGCTGGAGGCGGCTGGGAGGCTGAATGTTGCACTGGAAAGAAGTAGTGAACCGACAACATGCACATTATGCAGGCCACACGCGGCGTAGGAGACTATAAAAAAGACTATAAGCCATTCCCTTACGGGGCCGAATCAGCCCAGGACGGCAGAGCAGGATGACGATCTCGAATACGATGCGAAAGGCGTGAACATGATGATTGCCGGAGATCACCTCTCATCTCGGCGTACCATACCCAAGTCAGCACAACCTACGGAGTACCAAGGCGGGTTGACGGGCTTGGCCGCGACGGCGGGCATGCCAGCAGCCAAACCCCTGCCCGATCTGCCGGCGACCCCTGAGCCCTAGCGCGCCCTGGAATGTCGACCCCAGATTCCCGTATCTCTGGCCGGCGTGGAACTGTGATATGACAGAAAGATATGACCTGACCAAAATCAGGGGACTCCAGAGCTCCAGAGCCCCCAAATCCACAGTTGCTACACTTTGGCCAGCTTTTGTGGGGGCGGTTTGGATGGCTGGGACAGCAATCTGACGTCGTCCGCCGGCCGGGCCGACTTCTGATTGGGGGGCTGGCGCTAGTTGCGTGCCGTTACAGATCCTTACAGATCCGCGAGATACGGGAGATAACGCGCCCAGAAAACGCCACCAGACTGACTGGCGCTGGACTGCCGTGGTAATTCGAAGCTGTCAAGCTTTTGCCCAGGCTCATCCGCATGACTAGCATCGCCTGCGACCTCTAGCTCTGTCCCACAGGGCCGACCTGCTCCAAGGCTGTACCTACCGAAACGAGTAATAGGGTAGAAAAGTTAAATCCGTACATACATGACGACCGTCTTCCGTCAATTGTTGTTGGCGACTTCATCTGCGACTGGCATACCAGAGCAGCGGTGGAACACGAGCCCTGAACCTCGCCGCGAAACCTGAGACAGTCATCCAGTAGGCGCCCGGCACAGCACACACACACCATGGACGCGCAACCGCAACACCATGGACGCCGCACGAGCATCGCTGATGATGCCGTTGCCCTGGAGCACATGGGCCACAAGCAGGAGCTCAAGCGGAACTTCTCCTTGATCTCCATGCTTGGTCTGGCCTTCGCCATTCTCAACACCTGGACCGCCCTCGCCGCCTCCATCTCGCTCGCTCTGCCCTCCGGAGGGCCGAGCTCGGTCATCTGGGGTCTGATCGTTGCCGGCATCTGCAACCTCTGCCTGGCAGCCTCGCTCGCCGAGTTCCTGTCCGCTTACCCGACCGCCGGCGGCCAATACCACTGGGCAGCCATCATCTCGTGGAAGCCCTGGGCTCGCGGCATCAGCTACATCACTGGATGGATCAATGTCTCTGGCTGGGTGGCATTGACTGCCACCGGTGGCCTGCTCGGCAGCACCTTCGTTATGGACGTCATGGCGCTGTTCAACCCGGACTACGAAGCCAAGGCCTGGCATCAGTTCCTCATCTACCTCGCCTTTAACATCGCGGCGCTCCTGATCAACGCTTTCCTCAACCGAATTCTTCCCTACGTCACCCAGGCCGCTTTCTACTGGTCTGTCGCGGGATTCGTCATCATTAGCATCACCATCCTTGCGTGCGCGACCCCCAACTTCCAACCCGGCTCCTTCGTGTACGGCAGCTTCATCAACGAGGTTGGCTGGCCCGATGGTCTGGCATGGATGCTCGGTTTGCTCCAGGGTGCTTTTGCTCTGACTGGTTTCGACGGTGTCGCCCACATGATTGAGGAGATTCCTCAGCCCCAGATTCAGGGTCCTCGCATCATGCTGTACTGCATTGGTATCGGCATGGTATCTGGGTTCTTCTTCCTCAGCTGTCTTCTCTTCTGCGTCAAGGATGTCGACGCCGTCATCGAGTCTGGTGCCGGACCTCTGCTCCAGATCTTCATGGATGCTACGGACAACATGGCTGGAAGCACATGTCTCCTCATCTTCCCTCTCGTTTGCATGCTGTTCACCACCGTCAGTATCATGGCTACTAGCAGCCGTATGAGCTACGCTTTCGCGCGAGACCGCGGTCTCCCCTTCAGCAGTGTGTTCGCCAAGGTGCACCCGACACTCGACGTGCCCCTGAATGCGCTCCTTTGGACCTTTGGCTGGGTTGTCATTTTCGGTCTCATCTTCCTGGGTTCCTCGAGCACATTCAACGCCATCACTGCCGCCTCGGTTGTTGCACTTGGTGTCACCTATGCCATCCCGCCGAGTATCAACGTTCTTCGCGGCCGCAAGATGTTGCCGGAAACCAGAGCGTTCAAGCTGCCCGGCCCTCTTGGCTGGATCTTCAACCTGGTAAGCCTCTTCTGTTGGTATTCAACGATTTCAGCAAACTAATGTATATAGGTTGGCATTGCGTGGACGCTGCTCACCACCGTTCTCTTCGTCTTCCCTCCTGAGACCCCGGTTACTTCTGAAAACATGAACTACTGCGTTGCTGCTTTTGGAGTCATCCTTTTGATCTCTGTGTCGACAGTGAGTTACCCATTCACCCCATTCCAGCCCATTCTTGTAGCAACGTTGCTGACTTCATTGCAGTGGATCTTCGATGGTCGCAAGCACTACGTCGGGCCCAAGCTCGACGTCGACGGCTTGTTGCACGGCAAGGTCGAAGGAATGGAGCCTTCGCACTCAGCGGAGACTTCAGAGCCTGTTGTGAAGACCTAAGCGAGCGTATTATTGTTTGATTTTGGAGTGAAGTGAATTTGGAAATATGTATCCCGAACCGACAGGATGTGATTCGGATGATAGGGTTCGAATACTTGAACTAGATACCCTCATATTTGTTGGTATCAGGATTCCTTTCATATAGCTTCTGGTGCGTACGGGATGATTCACGGCGTTATCCAGGCATGGGGAATCTTTCGAGTTTATATTGACACCATACTAAGCTATATATAACATGTGTATTACAATCATTTGATGAACAAACGGAAACATTGAAGAACGGTTCGCCTAGCTTCTTGTACGTATGTGGGAAGGTTCCATGAACTCACCGCTGGGCGCGCCCTTCCCATGGCAAGTTCCAGCACCATGTGAGTAGTCTCTGCTAGTCTTGTACCCTGACGGTATTAAAGGCTGCCGTGACAAATGAGAGCCTACAAAAAGTTTCGAACCCCTTTTTTTTTCATTCAGGAGAGGACCCCAACAAGCCTTTAGTTGCTGACAAATGCTCGAGACAGATGATCAAGCTCTATTGTGCCTTCACCTCATGTGTTACGCCCACATCTGCATGGCTACCCATGGTAATCTGCGCACACGGCAATGCACTGTGAACACTAATATGGTGCAGAGCTCTGATTAGTGATGCTTCCAAGCGTATTATCAATACACGGTTACATGCATCACACCTCAGGCAAGAATGAGCCACATCACTACAGTCCGAGCTGTCCATGGTACGCTGTGGTCCATCCCGGAAGACTTTCCCGATTATTTCAAAATCACCTATAAGCGGACATGACAAGTCAACGAGCTTTTCTGGTGGATCGTGTGAGATTGGGTTCTAATGAGTAACTATTTTTTGTATCACTACAGAGGCATCTCCCACGAGGTAATGGAGGCTGCCCAGCCAGTGCAATGCACTTGAGAAATACTCCTATTTGAACTTGCATTTATTGCGGAAATCTTGTGAGGCGAACTTTCTAATACCGCTCATTCAACTGCACCTCCATGTTGATCTAGCTCTCGGCCACAGTCTCCGTATCAAAGTGGCCGTATGAAATACCCGTGGATCTTCACGGCAGTTTGCTTTTTCACTGAAGTGTTTCAGTGAGATCATGGTTGTGACTTATCATAAGTCTGGGGGAGAAAGCTGGAATCAGGCCTGTAGTGTAAGCGGCTAAGAGGAGTTTTCCTCAAGCGCATGCGCTATACCACGGTAAGGCAATATAACTTGCATTTTATAGGTTTACAAGGTTAGTCAAAGATAGTTACTGATCACAACATCATTGAGTGCCTATGCTCTTTGTCTCTTTATACATTTGGCTGAGGTTCCTAGCTGAAAGGGTTGCCTAGCGAATTGGGCTACGCGCTTTAATGGGTCCGCGATTAAGTGTAATGATATGAATTATGTAACAAGACGCAACCTACATTACGAAATTATGCTCTTACCTTTTGCGTGGAATGTTTTCAGTCCATAGCCATATTCCGAGTCATAATTCAAGCAGGAAAACCTTTTCCTTTGAGGTCGTCCCGGTCGCCGACCGGCTGCTTTGCAACTGCCGTCAGACAGCGTCTGCTGTTGAAGACGCGTAGATATTGCCGAGTACCCAAAGTCTCGTTCGCGAGATACCAGATTGTTCACCACTCGAGCTTCTACGGCGTGTAAGAAGGGTACGGGCGACACGACGCTCTAGACCTTCCGGAACTGGTAGCATTTCCTGGCCCCCGTTATCCAGCAGACGCTGCAAAAGTGCCGCGTCGATCTGCCGCAGAATGTCAGCGTTCCATTCCTATTACTCTTCAAGACCCTTCGGTCATTTATCTGGAGCCCGTCGCCGATGAAGTATCATTTGCGTTGCTTGTTGCAATCAGGATACCTAGGTTGGTGGGCAGATTAAGGGTGATCAACACGCAACAACTAAATCATCAAATCCCAAGGCCTCTAAGCAAGTTTCAAAGGCGGCGCTGGATTCCATCCTTGGCCTGCCGGGGTTGCATACCCGAGGTTGAACTGACGGGGGTAGTCGAGTGGAACCGAGGATTTGGAACCATGCTGTACGCTATGATTGGCCGTCTCCATACTTATACTCATGTATCTATGTAGCAAATCGAGCGAGAATCATAGTCGCTCGGGGAGGTCATATTACCAAAGCTATGTTACGCAATTCGTCTGTCGGTCTGAACTTAGGAGGGTTTTCCAACCGGGTTCTCCAGACTTCTCCGCAGACGCAGGGGTAACACATGTGAGGACATGCAAGCTATACAATCGGATTTATGACTAGCATGCCCCGCAAAAGCCAATGGCCTCCTCTTTCCAGAAGCTCGGCATTCTAAATTGGAGGCCAGCCCACCAATGGGGACTGAAGCAAGATGGTTCAATCTACATACGACTTGCCGTTCCGGGCCAAGGAACACGGCATGCGGAGGCAACGGTCCCAAGGTCCCAAAGGCCAACAGTAGCTATATATTACGCGTGATCCAATAGAGACAATGAAGGGCCGACGACGGCGAGAAACTGTACCAAAACTGAAGCCATCGACATCACCATGCGGCCCTCGACACTATTCGGCAGCTTGGCTGCGCTGCTTCTGTCGCCGGTGAGCGATGCCGCGCTCACGACGGTGACGAACTGGGGCAGCAATCCGACGAATCTAGAGATGCAGATCTACTTGCCAAAGAAACTGGCAGCCAAGCCCGCTGTGGTCGTAGCTGTGAGTTCCCTTGGCCTGGCTGGGTCAAAATACTACGGCAAGAGAGGCGATGCTTACAGCAAATATATAGCTCCATGGATGCGGCGGGTCCGGACAGCAATACTACCAACAGGCCAACTACGGCTCCTACGCCGACGACAAAGGGTTCATCGTCATCTACCCGAGCTCCAAGAACGACAGCAACTGCTGGGACGTGTCGTTCCCCAGGACGCTCACGCACGACGGCGGCGGCGACAGCGAGGGCCTGAGCAACATGGTGTCCTACCTGGTGCAGAAGTACAATGCCGACCCGGCCAAGGTCTACGCGACCGGCTCCTCGTCCGGGTGCATGATGACCAACATCCTGCTGGCGGTGTACCCGGACGTCTTCTCGGCGGGGTCGTGCTACTCCGGGGTCGCGGCCGGGTGCTTCGCCGGCTCGCCCGGCAACAGCCCGACCACGTCGAACCGCACCTGTGCCAACGGGGACGTGAACAAGTCCGGCGCCGAGTGGGCGGCCCAGGTCCACGCCATGTACCCGTCGTACAAGGGCGCCTACCCGCGCATGCAGACCTTCCACGGGACCGCGGACACCCTCGTCTACCCGCAGAACCTGTTTGAGCAGCTGAAGGAGTGGTCGGCGCTGCTCGACGTCTCGTGGACCAGGAACAACACCAACACGCCCTCGAGTGGGTACACGCAGATGGTGTACGGCGACGGGACCAAGCTGGTGGGCTACCTTGCTCAGGGGGTCGGTCACACGGTACCGGTCCACCCGCAGATGGACATGAAGTGGTTTGGTCTCCTATAGTGCGAGTTGAGCATCCAGCAAGGAAGCCAAAGGAAGTCCGATTGTGCTTTGAGGGCCGGTCCGGGAGATCACATATCGCTTCGTGTAAAACACCTGGGCTTCTCAGAGCTCTCAGGTATTCAGCGAGACAAGTCCCCTGGCTTAGTTCGGCTGCGTGACAAACAGAAAATAATTCAGTTCCTGTTATACGAACCACGTGCACAATGAATTACTGCAATGAAATGGTTAGCGTCGAAGTCGATTATTGGCAAGTTCCATTGCAACCGAGGTTCGTATTTTATGTAAGTGGCACGGCGTGGGGCGCGCCCTTGCATTTAGCACCTGAATGTGGACGCGTTCCACGCGTAAATTGGGGCGTCCCCGATGGGAAGCTCTTAGGATGACGTCGGAACCCACCCGCCCCAGCACCACGCATCTTCGAGCTTCACATTCATTCCAGGCCAGGCCGGCACAGCTTTGCTCATCGACGGTCGCTACCATGGCGCCCTCAAAGCCAGCTTCGCCGCCGACGAACAAACGGAAGATCGACGCCCCGATCTCCCCTCCGCCGGTGAAGAGGACGGCACAGAGCAGCATCTCCAAGAGCGCCGTCAGCAGCTTCTTCACACCCACGTCGCAGAAGCCCAAGGAGCGCACCCAGTGGTCCGAGCGGGCCGCCGACGATGACACGCCCGCGACTCTGCTCGTTGGCCGCTACGAGCCCGAGAAGCTGGGCGAGTCCGACCGCAGGAAACGCAGGAAGATTGCCGCCTTCGATCTGGTACAGTCCACCCTACCGCCTCGCCTTTGGGGGTGCAGAGGATGTGGCGGCTGATGATGTGTTTTCTCCAGGACTCGACCCTGATCACCACGGCATCAGGTAAGAAGCACGGCGATGACCCTGGCGACTGGAAATGGTGGGACTCGAAAGTCCCGGCTAGGCTGCGGCAGCTATACAAGGATGAGGACTACCAGGTGGTGATCTTGAGCAACCAGGCTGGCCTCGCTCTACGCCCCGACCCCAACTCGAAAGGGCCGAAGAACTTGGGCAGGGATCGAGTCACAAAATTCAAACAGAAATGCAGTGCCGTCTTGACGCAGCTCGATCTGCCCACTACGCTCTACGCTGCTACAGGGAAGGACATCTTCCGGAAACCCAGGACGGGGATGTGGAAGGAGGTCTGCGAGGACTATGACATACCGCAGGACGAGGTCGACTTGGAAAACAGCATCTTCATAGGCGATGCAGGCGGGCGGACTGCCCAGCTCAAGACGGGCAGCACGTCAGCCGTGGCCAAGGACTTCAGCTGCTCGGACCGCAACTTCGCGCATAACGTGGGAGTCCCTTATAAGACCCCCGAGGAGTACTTCCTGGGTGCCAAGTCCCGCGACTTCAGCCGCGACTTCGACCTGGCGATCTACCCCTATCCCGAGACGGCCGACGGCGCCGACGTCGTGTTCGAGAAGAAGCACGACCAGGACGTGGTGCTGTTCGTCGGGCCGCCGGGCGCCGGGAAGAGCACCTTCTACTGGAAGCACCTGAAGCCGCTGGGGTACGAGCGCATCAACCAGGACACGCTCAAGAGCCGGGCGCGGTGCTTCAAGGCGGCGGGGGAGGCTCTGGCGTCGGGCGCGTCGGTCGCCGTCGACAACACAAACCCGGACGCCGACGGGCGCGCCGAGTGGGTGGCGCTCGCGCGCAAGCACCAGGTGCCGGTGCGGTGCGTGTGGTTCCGGACGCCGCTCGGGCTGTGCGAGCACAACGACGTCGTGCGCGCGCTCAACCGCCCGCTCAACCCCGAGGCCCGCACCGCCCTGCCCAAGCTGGCCTTCAACGGCTTCGCCGCCCGCTTCAAGGAGCCCAAGGCCAAGGAGGGCTTCGAGGACGTGGTCGAGGTCGAGTTCAGGTTCCGGGGCTCCAAGGACGAGTACGCCATCTGGGGCCGTTACTGGACGTAGAACGCATGCACATCGGGCTTCTATCAGTAAAGAGACTACACTACGTCTGTCCCCCAAGATGAACAGACTATTTACAGAACCTCAAAACCAGAGGCATGAAGGCTAGATGCACCAGATAGTGGGCAGATGTTTCCGTCTTGAGCCACACATGCTCAGCTAGGTCTCGAAGCACAGCATATCGAACGCGGTAACTAGACGAGCAAGTTAAACGGACAGTTTCCTGTCCGATAGCAAAGAAACAGCCCTTGTTGGTATTCAACATGATTTCAATCAAGGTCCTAGCAGACGTATCACCCCGAAGACACCTTCTTCACATCTTCAAAACATGTAGCCAAACGAAGGTGCATTGTACGTAAGAGGATTTCGTTAATTAGCAGGTATCTATGTACAATCGACCCCCGCCGTCTTACACACAGGGGAATGGGGGATGCTGCAAATCTATCGCCCGTTCTACTAAAGGGTGGTGCCTTGGCCGCCTGCTGGTGAAAGCAAAACCGATAAAACCATATCAGCGCCTGAAAATCAATGCTGACCATCCATCATCTGGGCCAGGTTTTCCCTCTTGCCGGCGCCCATGCGCTGTGTTGAACGATGCCTTCATCTGGCCATTGCCGTCCAGCGTAAACTTCTGTACTCCCGCTTGCCAATGCTCCCCTTTTTTGCTTCACAGCTTTGCTGAGCCCACTGGCGCGTGTCAGTGGTCTGGCATAATTCGTATTGTCCCGCAGTGATATATAGCCGTATCGTAGTTATTCTGAGTTGTCCATGATGGTTGGTTCGTGTGCGACCAACCCACCTCAACCGAAGAGAGCAGCACCGCCGCTCTCGACGGCCTCGATCTCGCTGAGGTCGATGGGGGCGCGGCGGAAGCGGGCGGGCAGCTCGCTGCGGTCGAAGAACTGGCCCTTGGGGGCCTCGACGGGGCCCAGCTTGGCGCCGGGCTGGCCGCCGATGAGGCCGACGCTCTTGCGCAGGGGGCCGTGCTGCTGGGCCGAGTCGCGGTAGCTGCTGAAGGACATGTGCGAGTTGCCGTTGCCGGAGCCGAAGCCCGAGGGCAGCGAGCCGGTGGGCGAGGCCGGGTGTGGTTGCGGGCTGTGGTCAACCTTGGCTGCGGTGACGGGGCCGAGTCAGTACGGGCTGCGCGTGCGTGCTTTACGTATCTATCCATGTACGTAGGATAGGACCCGCGAGGGCGCGGCAGGGCGCAGGCTCACCTGGGATCTCGTGGCGCCTGCCGACGAATCTGATCAATGGGGTACGCTCGGCGGCGTGGGCGGCCTGGCGCAAAGCTCGAGTGGCCTGCATCGCGACTGTGTGTATGTGTGTGTGTGGTGTTGGTGCTGGTGTAGTACGTGACCGGCCACGACTCTGGCGAGGTTTTTTGGTGGATCTCCAACTTGGCCCGACGGGCGAAGCTCGGACTCTTCTTTTCTCGTTGCGTAATAAGGGAAACGGCCGAGGTGCGGGCGCTGCTGACAGGTCACAACGCGTATACGCAGATTCGGGGATCGAGCAGCGCTGGCTGACTTTGGGGGAATTGCGAATTGCGAATGAGTGGATGGTCTGGCGCGGAGGGAAGAAAAAGTGCAGAGAGGACTGGGAGAGGAGAGAGAGAACGGGTTTCTCTGAAAAGCCTCGGAGGTTGGCGGGACGCACTGAAATAAAAAGTCGCTCCTGGCTCGCAGGCAGTCGGCCAATTTCTGTGCGGGATGCGCCGCCTGGTTTTTGGCTTTTCGGGGGGATGCTACTGGGGCTTGGGGACTTGGGGGGGGGGGGGGGGGGGGGGAACAGGTGGAGTGCGACCCCTGGCGCCGCCTATCCTTCCATCCTATCCGCCGGAGCTACAGGACGGGCAGGATCAACCGCAATGCACGTCCTGCGGTTATCGGACTTTTCTGGGCTTACCACCCAGGCCACCGTACGTTCCTGGCGCCATCCTCCACAGTCTGGTAGGGCAATTGCGTACTGGCAGCACCCGACGTCTAGGTACTCTGCTCCGCCCTCCGCAAACTGTAACGGCGAGTCTGAAGGGGGAGAAGGGGGGCTTTTCGTTGCTATACTTTCTCTGGCCACATAGTTTCTGAAGGTCTCACCATTCCCCAGTATGCTCTGAAACCCACAGCGGTAGCTCGAGCAGGCTGAGGCTGCTGACCCGGGAATTCTCGGTAAACTCACAATGACCTCACTGGCCTGTGCTTGGGCAGGGTTCTGATCCACGCTCCATTCCTACTTCTGTCCCGAGTCCGTCGATAAGAGGGAGGAGAATGCTCATGGTATACCATAACCCTCCCCAACTTCTCCTGCCCAGGACCACTGTCCGAGCAGCATTGAGACACTGTATGAATTTTTGGGCACATGCAACAATTCCTTGCATCCGAACGGAAAGCCCTGCAGGATTGGAGCAGGAGCTTCCTCAGCCCCGAGGATCGGGGCTCGGTTCGGGGGAGGTGTGGAGTGGGGGTGACAAGACGAGCTCAATCACGACATTCAAGGGCCCTGCAGCCTGCTCTCGCGTGTCCTGGCCCAAACACGTTCTGGTTGCTGACCATTCACTGCGCTGTCTCCTGCGGTCTCCGTTGCCATAGATTCGACAAGCATACTCTAGAAGCCCACTGGACCCTGATAGTATACCGTGGAGGATGGGCACGTCTCGTCATTGGCCTGGAGGCTGCGGGAAGCTCATGCATTGGGCAGCATCTCAGCCCACTCTCAGGCCATGCACCTGCAACGCGGGGAAACATGCCCACGCACGCCTTGTCAAGTTATGTGGGTGGTATTGCAGCCGGTAAAGTCGACATTCGCTTCTGCATCCCCTGTCTGCCCTACACTGCACTGCACCTTGCTTACACTGCATCTTGCAACGGGCGTCCGGGGGCCTCGGCAGTAGATGGTCTCTCGTGCGAACGGCTCACCAGGTATACTGAGGAACTCGTCAGCTTTCAGACTCCTTGCAATGCGCATAATGCTGCACAGCAAGCCTCGCCCCGGATGAACGGCTCGACCAGTGCAAGACTTCGCGTGTTCTGAGGGTTCTGAGACGCGCCCCAAGTCGCGTTGCCCTTCTCTGCAAGGCTGGTTAGTCAGTTAGCCTCCAGGGTTTTTGGGTAGGACCCCCGAGGACACAGATCCCACTTAACTCAACAGGGCTTACTTACGCGCAAGTGGTACTGCATAGACCTACTGTTTCTGACCATGGGGTAAAAGTTGCCCTAGTTCGGCAGCTTGAGGGAAACCTAAAATCGACCCGTGGCCCAGTAGGCTGCCGATCCAAGCCCTATCGTGTTGAGTCCCCATCGAACGATCTTCAGTCCCCATACATGCCCATGTGAAGTTTGAACTAGTCACGACGATGCCGTGGCTAGATCATTGCCACCGTGGCGCTTTCGGGACTTGAAACGTAGAGGATTGCAACTTCTCTAGAAGAAGAGGCATTCTCTAGAAGGGGCAAAATCAAATTCTGGCGGGATGGTCCTATGAAGAAGATCTCTTGATTTAATCAGCAATTACACGCCGGTGGTACATAGGCTGTAGTGAGACCGTCAGAACACGTGCTATTGCCGAGAGGGATCACCAAGACATTATCGCAATTGAGTATCTCCGCCAACAAGCCTAGCGCATCCGCTATACTACTTCGTTGACCATGTTAGCTTGGCACGATCTATCTTCACCTCAAAAAGACTTCTTACCTTAGCTCGCGTTGAATGACCGGAAAGTATCTCTCCAGAAAAGTTGGTGGACATAAAGTATGTTGGCTTGGTAGGAGAACCAACTCTCCAAGAACGCCAGGATTCCTTGGAACCTCATTCGCTAGCACTATATAGACTCGGTAAATAGTGATGGCGTGATATTATACGAAGGAGATTTGTCAGCTGGAGACCTCATCCTTGGGACAGTCACTTCTGTGAGAGACGAAACAAACTTCTGTGAAATGCATTTCCCCTGAATTTTTTTGGTGGTATAAACGAGTGTGCCTAATAGTTGGAAAGGACAGGAAGCCAAGAAATCAAACCCAGACCCAAAATCAAAGAAACGAAAGCCACCCGCCTGCCAGCCCAACACGGCCTTTTCCTAACACCCCCTCCCCTTTTGCGCCCCTATATGATGCCCATGGTATGAGAGATTGAGAAAAGATACCACTTCCTAGGAATGCTGGCGAATTTAGCAGACGCCGTGCTCGTCGAGGAAGTCGTTGAGCTTGGGGACACAGCCGCCGCAGGGGCAGATCTGTTGACCAGTCAGTTAGTCAGTTATTCACATTGTTGTCTGCTTTGACTTGTATGAAGACGAGAGGGGGTTCTTGGAACTTACGGCTCCAGCACCACCGGCAACGCAGCCGATGACCTTGGCCGGGTTGCGAGTCAGGATCGCGGGGGCAATGCAGATGGCACCCTTGGCGACGATGGCCGCGCACTTGAGGACGTTGCACGACTCGGCGGCGGCGGCGAACTCGATCGAGTTCTGCACCTCGGCGACGGCGACGGTCTGCTCGTCGCGGGCCATGACGTTGTCGCTGGGGTAGGCCAGGCCGGTGGCGGCGAGGAAAGAGACGATGACGACGGTGAACTGCATTTTGAAAGTTGGGGTTTGGTTTTTGGTTTCTTGGAGAAGAAAAGTGAGGGAACTTGTTGATTTGGGAGTGAAAGAAGAGCTGGCTGCTGTTGTTTGCTTGGTGATGCTGATGATGAGGATAAGAATTCGATCTTGAGGTCGAAGAGAAAGGGGTTTATATACACATTTGTCTCTCAGCAGTCTCGTCTTGAACTCGATGAAGTGTGCATTGTCCATCACCATCATGTGGAGATCTGCATCGTAGAGATGCTCTCGGTAGAGCTGGCAGATCTCATTGTCAACACAATCCCTACGCTATTTTTGTCCGACAACAAGTTCGCATGTAGATCCCGGGATCCAAGAAAGATCGATCACCTACCCCATTTGAACCTCACGGTGATCTTCGTCCAGCATGATCATGAGGCTGTAGCAGATCGTATCCATTATAGTGATGGCCAAAAATGCACCTGCCGAGCCTCAGATCCCACGGGGGCTTCTCGGTCAGCCTCCTTAGAGGTATAGTCAATTCTCATTCGCCAAGTATGGACAGACTTTGCGCCCGAGGCTACGCATGGATACCTTACACTGCTCGCAACCACGGCCCTGGTGAGAATCCTTATCATCATCGTCATCATCCATTTTCGGTCATTGATGTATGAGCACGGAGCTCACTGCTTCAGACGCTGCATTCCAGGAGACAGATCTTCCCGGCGGCGTAGGAAGTGTAAACGGTGAATTCCGCTGGATATCCTAAGCTGAGGGTCACAGCGTTGCATGAGGCTGCGTGCGCCGAGGCGAGAACATACGTGCATGGCGTCGAGCTGAACTGTATGCCAAGGTGCATAGTCAAATAAACTTTGATGCGGTTCTGGGCGACGGTCTCGGGCATAAGGATTCGCCGGATCGGCAGTTGGACAGGGCGACATAGATGAATACGGCATGCGTCGGTGGCTGAGATCAGTCGGTATTGCAATAGGAATGGATTCATCCACATTCGGTCTCCCAGTCAGCATTTGCCCTTCCTGAAAGGGTGCCACTTAGTAAGAGGAACCCGCAATCGCAGCCTTTTGCCGTGATAGCTGCTAATGCAGGTCCACCCCAGGTGATTCATATGCCCGTCTTACGGGGGCCAAGAAGCTCTTATTCCGTCGCAGTTCGAGAAGGGTATTCTCATAGGCTAACGAAGTACGCCGCTGAGTCTCAAATACTGCTTACGAGGCGCGGGTGAGCGTTTCCGTACAAGATCAACAAACTGCTGCCCCGAAATAAGCTTAAGTATTACTGCCCTACCACGATGCAGGATCAAGGTGCGTTGGTAGATCGCGAACGGAAATAAGTGATTGGCATCGAGTCAGCTCTCGCGGCTGAACAGAACACAAGCTTTCTGGCTGGACGGGCCAAGACAGCCTTGCAGCTCAGCTCCGGTCGGCTACACGTGCCGCAACGCAGCGTGATGCATACTAAATATAGTTGGCAGGGATCCGGCTCCGCTCACGCTGTCTCACTTGCTTGACAGAGCCAAAGTTTATAAGGTTGTGCAGATCCCACCCAGGAGTTCACCTGCTTGCAGATCTCAACACCATGATACGAGCCATGCTATGCGTGATGAGAATGAACGGATTGCGCTGAGTACCAAATCATGACGAGTGGGATGCCCACCTGATGCCATCTCGGTGCTTTCCCGCATCCGACAACACGATTTGACGAAAATCGGTCAATTGGCGCGAATACGTCTCCCTCGAGGAATGTGCGTTTGTATCAGTACACGGAATTTGCAGTTCGCATCAAGAGCCTTGAGATCTGTACAATACGAGAGGGGACTGTGTGAAATTGTGGAGAGGCTGCCGCAGTTTGGAGATGTGTTTTTGCTCGTTTGAATTAAGGGCAATATCAAGTCATCCGCCTCACCCAAGACACTAAGTTTCAGAACGCTTCGTAGCTTGATATTCCTCCTTTTGTTCGGGTGGGTTCTGGGTCAAGTGCACTGAATGGTCCACTCGTAACGCCATCCAAATTCTACTGACATCGAGATTTGCGGGAGTAATTCGGCCACAGTTTAACCTACCCGGTACAAAGGAGAGGGGAGGTGGACTCGAATGTGGTAAAACATACTTGATATCCGCTTCTCACTAGGGCACGAGCCAGGTGTGCAATAATGGTAATGATGAAATTCAACGTGGCCTACTCTGTAAGATAAAAGTATCGTTACATATTATCGTTACATATCGCGAGGCAGATTCCGCAGGCATTCCACTATTTTTTTAAAGAAGCGCAACGCAAGTCAAGGCTTCCCAGATGCGCCTCCCGTGCCTCAGCCCTCCAGGGAACTTGGTAGTCTGATTATTTTCCCCCATCAGGTTGCCTGTAAGAAACGATACAAGAAGCGTCATGAACAAGTGGAACGATACATGTGTGTCTTACGAGCTCTGCACGAGTTCTGGATTAGATGACCGCAATGTCGGGTGTTACGGTCTTACTCTGAGGTGCGGTAATACGAAGGATTGTTCATTCAATACTTACAGTCCCTACATCAAAAAGGGCCACAGACGTCATGCGAGGCGATAGCTATGTAGCAAGCCCAAGCACCACGTCTTCTAGGGTGGGCCCTCACCTGAGTCCATTAATCGTGGGAGATAGACGGCTTGTACAGAATCCTATGCGCGGGCGGAGATGAGTCTCTCGCTAAGCTTTCTGGCAGTCATTGCCTTTGCCGCATCACTGCTTCTCACTCAGCCACGAGGGGAATCCGAAGGAGTTAAGTCATCAATATTTGACGTCAGCATATTGATAGTCATGAATTTGTCTCTAGTCTTACAGGATTCCAATATTTCGTATATTTCTGGGGGAGTTGATCAGCTTAGAATCCTCCAGCCCCTTGCCCAGATACTCAAGATACAGATCATTAACTCACCTAGACATTTGACAGATCACTACCACCTGATATTTGATATCCATTTTCCCTAAGTTTATTGTGCGGCAGTAGCATTGGCGGTCGTTCTTTGTCCCGTTCTTCTTTCCTCCTCAATTGCAGCTTTCACGTCGCATGCAACCTTGGTGTTTTTTTCTTCCTTCTCGAAGAGACATCATTGAGGCGTGCTTTTTCGAAGCAACTGCCTGTGCAAGATTTGGGTATACCGCATTGCCCAACCCGTGCGCAGATCACCAAACAAATATCCAGGCATCGCCGCAGGAAAGTGGTCATCCATATCCACTTCCCGATCTTTCCTCCCGCCACTTCCCGATCTCATAGCCTTGTTCTAACTTTCCTCTTCTGATACACCACGGAGTGGCTGGAGCCACAGCGCCCTGCTTCACAGGCTAAGTCTACAACTTCAATCCTCAGCCCTACAAACGGGCAGGGGAATTCTGTATCTTTCTTGTTTTACATATCAATACAACCCGAGTTTGTATCAGGTGACAGTATACTAACTGATTGTTTAAATTGATTGTATCATTAAAGTTATGGCATTTAGGAATTGAAATATTTCAATAGGAAGAGGAAGATGCACAAATTAGTTCCTTCGGGTTGATCATTAAGCTCCCAGGCCTGCAATACCCTTCTGCTTCCCCTGCATCTGTACCAACGCCGCTATGTGTTCATTTGCTGCCGAGACCAGAGTGGCTTGGACGTGGGATGTGGTGGAAGGGTTCTCATGTGGAGTGGTGCCCCAAAAAGACACGGCGAAGCTGGAGGCCGGCGTCATGCGTCCATTGTACCATTCAAGATGACATATTTCTAAAAGACACTCAACATCTCAATAATGAATGTGGAAGCTATCTCAACACTATCCCATTATTACCCTCCCTTCTCAGTTCGTTTTGTTGTATTCTGATGATGTGCTGAATTTTAGGCTTGTTTCTGGCTGTGCACTAGGATAAACTATCCTCAGCAAACCGACCGGCTCATTGGTGTCTATCAACTAATATTTTATCTCTTCACCTGCCACAGATGAAACTCAAAGGTGCTCTCCTGCTGGAAATCTTGTTACCTGCCATCTCGTTTAGGAAGAAACTGAACTGCGCAAAACTCGTGGAAGATACGTCGTTGCAAAGCCGCTTATGGATCAGAAAGTCTTAAGGCAGAAACTGTTTTCTGAAATCCATAATATTAGTGAATAGAGAAGCCCTCTGAGTTCCGTCGAGATAGAGTATCAAGCTCTTGCCATACACTATTTTAGCCACTCGACTCTGGACAAGTTTGAAAAGGGCGTCCTAGGATCGACGGATTGGGCAGACATGCCCAGAGCAGCACCTCGACTTCGTCGCGCTGGAGCGACAAGATACGACACGAATCAGCCTAACAAGAATTCTGAAGCAGCAAGGGGATATGATGAAGTCAATTCTTGAGCTTTCTGCCGCAAAGGCCGACAGGGCCGCCGATTCTCTTTGCTGGATGTCTTCTATTCCGGTAGATAACGAAAACCTAGGAGTCAGGCGTCGACTTGGAGACGCCCACTTGTGGTCTGGTCGTCGGTTCCTCACTGATGAGAATGCACAGGATTGAAAGGCCTAACGGGAAGGTTGTCTGTCAGATTTTTTGGCTCCAGGGAATCATGTGAACCGGCAAGAGTGCTTAGACTTCGATGCTCATCGACGACTTTGTCAGTGTGCCTGACGGTATACTGGCGTACTTATACTGCTCTCCCATTTTTGAGAGAGGTGACGATGGCACTACCATGAGGTGAGTTTAGCACTGCACTGCACTGCACCAATGTCTTTTGTCTTGAATTCCGCTTGGAGTTCAAACCTTAAACACGGTGAGTGATGAAATTTAGCTTCTGACTTGAAACAAGGAACGACAATGGAAACATTATATGCAGTCTCATCGCGCAGTGTTCCGCCTACCTCCACCAAAAACACAACCGTATACGATGCAATCGTGACGTGATCCAAAGTAGACAAGGCACGGATATTTCAAGGTTGTGGAATTAATAACATCCTTGGCCAGATGCTTGAAGACATCTTCTCCAGTAGTGAGAAGTCCCAGTTCACAATCATAATTGATGCCCTCGACGAGTGTT